TGCTCATACATAACTGACTCCATGGAGCTGAGCCCTTCTTCAGAAGCCACCAGTTGTGCAGCTACTCAAGAATTTTCTGTTTATGGAACCTGTAGGTTCGTTACCATGTTCACATGGGCCCTCCACTGGTCCCTACCCTGATTCAGAGGATATTCTGTCTCTGTGATCCATTTTAATACTGTCCACCCACCCAGTCTTCCTTCTGACTTTCCCACCAAAATCTTGTATGAATTCATCTTCGACCCCATTCATGCATCATGCCCTGCCCGTCTCCCTCAACTTGATCATTCTCAAACATCTGCAGTCTGTGTTACTCTTAATGTCAGACAAGTTTCACACCCATACAGACATACAAGTTTTATGTATTCTGATTTTTATGTTTTTAGACAGTGGACGAGAAGACAGAAGGTTCTGGATTGAATGGTAGTAAGCCTTACCTATATTCAGTCACTTAATTTCCTCCTGAATCAGGTTTTGATTTGTTACTGTCAGTAGCTGATGTGTCCCATTTAATTTCAGCCCCACCTGGTTTTCGTGGACCTTCCTAATGACAGTCTACAGCAAAGTTGAAAAGTAGTGGCGTTAAAGCATCTCCTTATTTTACACCATTTTGGATAGGAAAATTATCAGAAAAATGTTTACGTATATGGACTTTACTATACGTTTCATTTAAACACATCTTAATTAGCCTAACTACTTTAATGGACACCGCAAAGTCTATGAGAACATTGTACAATGCTTCCCTCCTAACAGAATCATAGGCTTTCTTGAAGTCTACAAATAGCTGATATACTGTCTCATTGTACTCCCATTTTTTCTCCAAAGTCTCACGAATTCAAAACATGTGATCAGTAGTTGATCTGTCACATAGAAACCCACACTGACCATCCTCAATAATTTCATGTATATATGGATTTCACCTTGAGGGAAGGAAATTGGATAAAATTTTGTATAAAGTTGGTAACTGATATCCCACAATAATTACTACAGTCAGTTTTATCACCCTTCTTGTAAATTGGTGTAATAATATACTCCTGCCACTGATCAGGCAGTTCCTTCTTATTCCAAATAGAATAACTGACACAGATATTATGTTCCTGGACATTAGCCATTGTCCTGTTTTTATTTAAATACAGCATTTTGGGGACTGGATCCTGTCTCCGTCTTTAGGTAACACCTACTTAGTTGGGCCCAAATGAGTAGATTTTACCTGAAGATGGAGACAAAATCCAGTCTCCAAAATGTTATGCTTTAAATAAATAAAAACAGGACGATGGATAATATCCAGGAACATAATATCTCTATTAATGTACCATCGTCACAAACTCTTAGATGTTAGGATTATAACTTTATGGATCTCAGGCCATAGTGTTTCACCTCCTGCTTGAATCAGTTCTGCTGGAATTTGATCACTGCCTGGCAATTTATATTTTTTTCAACTTTGCAGTGTCAGTTTCAACCTCAAAAGGACTTGATCAGGTACTAATGACTCATCTGTATGAATTTCTATCTGCCTAACATCACTGACCCAATATACAATTCAATAATTGAGAGCAGTAGTTCTTCCACCTGTTCACTAAGTTACTTCTAGGATGGTAATCCCTTTTTGAAATCATTTACACCTCTGTACAGGTTTCTAATAGTCTTGTTCTTGCTGTTCGTTGCAAGCACATTCATTTTGTCTTTCAGATATTCCCTCTTTTTATTCCTAAACTGCTTGCTGGCATCACATCTTATATTGTTCAAATTATCGCCGCTAAAAAAACTACTTGTTCATTCTGTAATTTATTTGTATGAGTTGCTTATTTAATGATGCTGTCAGTAATTCAGACCATGTAAGATCAAATCATAGGATGATAGTGAATAATGAAGTGGAAAGGATTTGTAAGGAAGTAGTTGTAGCCTATTTCAAGATACTGTCCAGCAATTTCTTGTAGGGACTGAGGAAAACAGCAAAAAAACGTTAGGATAATGTAGTGTTCTAGCTTTGATTTGAGTTGGGTATCCCCAAATATAAGTCTTCAAACAGGTTCCTATAGCCGCAACCCTCTAGACTTGTATTCAGGAGGTCGTCGATTTCATTCTCAGCTTGCACATTGGATATCCAGCTGAAGTTCTTTGTGGTTTTCCACATTTCCTTCCACACATGCTGGGATAGTACTGCTTTCTTCTGAGTCCTACACATTTCATTATTCATTGGTCATCCTACCATTTGACACCGTTCAGCTTGAGATGCTGACATCATCATTAAAAAAATCGCAGAATAAGTTAGAAGTTTTATCATTTGAGCCAAGTTCCCCAGTGAAAATATGGAATGACTGTGAGTTTTTTTTTCACTTCCATTACTGTTTTGAATCAGTTCAGAATCCGGTTTTCTTCAAAAGATGGCTGGTTGAACAAACATCCAAATACTGGTCATGCAGTTAATGTGTTAGCTCCTTGAGGCCAAATGTGCTGTACTGAAGGAATGCATTGTATGTGTGCTGGACACATGACACTGTTTTTAAAAGTGTGGATTTAATCTTACCTTAGGCATGTGATTCTTAGCTGTAGAAATATTATGTTTTTGGACATTATCCATGTCTTGTGTTTATCTAAAAACTGTCCTGTTTAATTTTCAAAACACAACTTTTCGGAGACTGGATTATGTCTCTGTCTGGTCAGTTGGGCGCAATCAATAGAGCAAGTCCCTATCTCCTATGTTCAGAAACATAATGTTTATACTAATATACCATTGTCACAAACTTTTAGATCTTATTCTTAGTGGGTTTAATTGTGTAATTACGTTGTGCGTTCAAGTTCTAAGGTCTCCGATTTTTTTTCCTCACACAATAATCATACAAAAAATTTGAAACTTTGTCACTTTTCAACGTAATCTCCCTACAGCCGTACACATTTTTCACAATGTCAATGCCATGATTCCATGGCCGCTGTGTACGCTTCTGTAGCAGTCTGTTTTGACCACTGGAAAATCGCTGATGCAATAGCGGCACAACTGGTGAATGTGTGACTACGGAGAGTGTCTTTCATCTCTGGGAAAAGCCATAAATCGCTATGAGCCAGGTCAGGTGAGTAGGGAGCATGAGAAACCACTTCAAGGTTGTTTTCACGAATAAACTGCTGCGCCATGTACGCCCGATTCACTGGTGCATTGTCCTGGTGAAAGAGCACACTTGCAGCCTTTTCCAGCCGTTTTTCTCGCAGTGCTGGAAGGAGCTTGTTCTTCAAAACATCTTGGTAGGATGCACCTGTCACCGTAGTGCCTTTTGGAACGCAATGAGTAAGGATTATGCCATCGCTGCCCCAAAACATGACCACCATAATTTTTTCAGCACTGGCGCTTACCCGAAATTTTTTTGGTGGTGGTGAGTCTATGTGCTTCCATTGAGCTGGCTGGCGCTTCGTTTCAGGATTGAAAAACGGCATCCATGTCTCAACCATTGTCACAGTTGATGAAAAGAAAGTCCCATTCTTGCCTTCATCACGTGTCAACATCGCCTGGCAAATTGGCATGTGCGCAGCCTTGTTGTCGTCCGCCAGCATTCGTGGCGCCCACCTGGAGGATACTTTTCGCATTCACAATTCTTCATGCAGGATTGTCTGCACAGATCCCACGGATGTGCCAACTTTGGAGGCGATGTTTTCCACACTCAATCGGCGATCCTCCAAAACAACTTTCTCAACTTGCTCGACCATGTTGTCAGACCGGCTGATGCGAGACCGAGATTGTTTTGGTTTGTTGTGACACGACGTTTGGCCTTCTTTGAACTGTCGCACCCACGAACGCACATTTTTCACATTCATGACACCATCACCACATGTCTCTCTCAACTGGCGGTGAATTTTAATGGGTGTTGCACCACGCAAGTGGAGAAAACGAGTGATTACTCGCTGTTCTTATAACGAAAACGTCGCCATTTTAGGTATCAGAAACACTCCTCACACTCGCCGCCACCACTAGAGTTCTGTGTGCCGTACAGTGCTGCCATCTCTGTCACGCATTCACAAGGAGTGAACACGTATTTTAAACTAAACTGCATGTGTGTATCTGCTCCCAGGCCTGAGAAAAAAAAAATCGGAGACCTTAGAACTTGAACACCCCTCATATAATTGCATGTGCTAGCGTATGCCAAGAATAATTGACAGGACATTTTAGAGAAGCATACAAACTCTTACGAAAATATCAGGAATCGACTGAACATGTGTCTTTTGACTTATGCCTGCTGATTAAAAACATTGGAGACAGATTCTGTTTTGAACCTATATCCTTTGCCAACTCAGTAGAAATCTTGCCAAGTAGGTTGGTATAGCTGTAATGTCCTCGGCTTATGTTCAAGAGATATTTGGCTCAAATCTGAACTTCAACACAGCAATTATGACCAAGGCTTTCCATGATTTTATCCAATCCCTCGAAGCTGGTACCAGGATAGTAACCTTGATTGGGCCATGACTGCTTCCTTGACAGATCCTTTCCATTTCACCATTCATATATGCTGTTTTTGTTAAGGCAGTTTCTCTTTAAAATGAACAACTTTGTGGCCATCCCCGTATTGATAGCACCCGTTCTTCATTTTGCCCAATCACAGCTCCACACACTCTGAGACCTATATAAGGGCTTGTGAAGCCCTGCAGAGATGTTAACCCTGAAGATGGTAGCTGCAGTGTTTGCTGGAAGGTTGGAAAACCTTCAAGATCCTCTGTGCCACGTTCTCAAAGTCTGAAGTAATACATTAGCCATGAAAACCTTATAGGACATTAATCACATTAATTCACTGTTTTCTCATGTGGAAGTGAACTTGATAGTCCTGAATATGAAACGTATTTAGTTACCGCATGAAACACCAAATCTTTTATACTTTTCTTAACAGATGCTTGCAGCAGATGAACGTTAAGATAGATCGCTGTAGATTTTTATTTTGTGAGATGTTGGTAGTAGCTGCATGCTGAATGTTTGCGCGTACTGAATGGATGTGGTTCTGTTGTTTATGTTGCATGTTCAGGCCAGGCGCAGGCGCCAGGAGGAACTGGAGAAACAGCGACAGGAGGAGCATTTGCGAAAACAGCAGGTAACATTACATTTCATATGTCAGACACTCTTAGTGGCGCTCAGCTCAGTGGCGAAGCATGCTTACTAAGGCAGGGAACATAAAAGAGATGAAGGAATTTAAAGAAGTACCATATTCCAGTGGAGAGCACAGATTTTCCAAATGATTTCAGTGTAATTGACATGTTGGCCTTGGTGCCCAGTTCTATTAAAGCTAATTACACTGCGTGGAATCTGAGATTATTTTCTGTAGTATTCTAGGTAAACATTTAGAAAATCAGTGTTCATGTAAATAAGGCATTTTATTTAACTGATATGAGCTGAAATGGAATTTTTCCTGACATTTTCTAATATGGGCACTCACCACCATTTACAGTGGAACTCCCATTTAATGTTACTGAACTTAACTTTTTTTCCCCCCTCATTTAACAATCTGTTCTGATGATCAGAAGTTGTTAATCTTGCTGTTACATTTCCTTCATTTAAGATTTTACTCAGTTCAGTTGCCGTATTCACTGCTCCCCAAAGAAAACTTTAAATTGGGTTTCACGGTGCTTTCAAAATCCATTTTGGAGGTGAAACCTCCAAAAAATCAGTGAGGCACACATTTTTCAGGCATGAATTTATTTTATGCACCAACGTGAGTTGGTTTTCTTTCCTCAGCTGTATCATTTTCTGAGAACCATGACCTAAATCAGCTACACATAAAACACGGGTAGAAATTGGAGCACACAGTAGCATAGTTGGTTGAGAGTCCTGATGAGGTCATTGGAATTTTTAAATTTACCTAATCCTTCCAGCCGCATTATGGCCCTGGGGTCACCTCAGCCTCTAACAGAAATGAGTACCAGGAATCTTCCTGGGGGCATAAAGGGTGGCTGGCGCATAAGGCTGACAAACTTACTGCCATCTGTGAGCTGATTGTCTAGAAAATGTGGGAGCCTCGACGCCTCACAACCCTATGGGCTTTCACGGCCTGTTACAGGGATAGCTTTACCTTTTACCTTAGAAATGGGATTATCAGAAAAGTGACGAAATCCATATCTTTAGTTGTTGCTTCATGTATGGGTGTGAAACTTGGCATCTGCCCGTAAGGTGATAACATGAACATGTCAGAAGGTCAAAGGCTCTTCTCAAGGAGACTTAGGGCTTGGTTGGGCACTTAGTTGTGGTCAGATCTGGGACCAATGGTTGGCACACTGCTGTCTGTAGTCCAAGAGGAATGGACAGTTTGTCAATGCTCAGCTTTCTTCTCAAGAAAATGCTCCATGGAGTTCCACAAAAAGCAAAGAATTTTGTGACCAACCAGGAGCCAAGAAATCTCAGGAAGAGCTCTGCTCCATGGTGTTACAGTGAACCTCCACCCCAAATTTAATGTTTCTCAGTTTAAGTTTTTCTCTTATTTAAAGTTCCACTTCAGTGTTTCCAAGTCAGGAATCATAGTACTAAATTTCCTCAATTTAAAATTTTCTGCAGTCTAGTGTTCAAAATCGCTGACCCTCAAAGAAACCTTAAATGTAGGTTTAACTGTAATTTAATATGTTTAACTTTTAAATTTTGTAATATTTCAGGAACGAGAATTGAAACGCCAACAAGCTGTACTTATCAAGGAACAAGTAAGTACTTTATTCTTTTTATGTGTGTGTGTGTGTGTGTGTATATATATATATATGTAGGGTTCATGCAGGTCCATACAAGATTATTTACTCTTGTAATTTGTTCTATGGGTCTTTCCTAAAAATTGAACAAAAATTTATAAAGTTCTAAGAGATAGAAACCAGATCAGTAATATATGAGATCAGAAATCCACACAGCAGTGGGTACAGAGATTGCTATATTCTGGGTTGTGGTGCCGTGTAGTCTGGTGAATGCTTACGATGATTTGGACCAACCTGTTGCCTCCATTTTAAGTGCTGAAGAGTAAGGTTAACATAGTAATAGTGATGCACTCGGTATGGAGATTGAACACCAGACCATTCTATATTTACTGCCTTCTGGTATGTTATCCTGTGTACCCTAGTAGAGGAAACTGCTGCCATCTTCAGGGTGAAGCTCTCTGAAGCACTGTTAACTTTGTAGCAGATTACATGGTGCCACCTCCTACGAAACAACAATCTTAATATTCACTGCATTGAGACCCTTAAATCTCACATTACTGGGTTAGTAGAGAAGGCTGGGATAGTGCAGTATTGTGTGCTGCAGTTATAGAAATTGAAAAAGTTATTTCCACGTGGATTTGTGTGGGCCAGATGGGAAGATAAAAAGACATGAATGTAGGTTGGAAAGAATTTGCCAGATTGACCATCAACATGATACATTCAAGGAAACTTTTCCTAATGCAACAGAGAATGTTAGTGATTCTTACCGATAAATATTAGATCAAGAAGACGATGGATAAAGTGTATAAAAATAATTTGAATAGCATATCATAGAGATGCCTTGTATAAATTATAATTTCTTTTTTCACTGGACTTAATTCAGAATTATAACTTGTACACACATGTGCCTACATTGAGATATGTCTGAAAGATACAGGTGTAAATTTGTTTAAATTGTTATGTGAGAAATGTAAATTATTCGGTTGGGATTAGGTACCGAGAAACATGCATGAAAAGGATGAAATCTAGAAATTTTTATTCACACTGTTATCCTGAAAAGTTAACCGTTTAGATCACAGTGTGTCACATACTTTAAAATTTAAAAATTCTCAATTTTTCTCAGAAGTTGTATTTACATCTTTGTGATGTGAAAATAAAGAGGGATTGTTTCTCTAAATAACATTAAAGGATTGGTCATTGTAATGAAAATACTGGGTGTTTTGTCTGGGGTAAGAACTAAACTTTCAAGTGTAATTATTTAAAGGGTTAACAGAATCACAGTCTGCCCTTTGGAATTGGGTATCCTATAATATAAACATTTCTATCACAGGATGTAGTCTTATACTAGGGACAATGAAATTCATTGACATTTTTAGGGAAATTAATTTTTATTTGATAGGCATGAATTTTAGTGGTAGATTTTAAGTGATAATTTGTACAAAAATGAATTGTGTTTTTTCCTTAATGAGGCTGGTCATACATTTCCAGTGTTCTCTTGTAGTCTGCTGTCATTTTTAATTGTGTGCTTTTCAGTCTTACATTATTAGTTTAGTTGCAGTTTTGTGTATAATTTTGGGCACTGCTTGTATACCTCTTTGTATATTGTTTTTTGTTTAGTGTATAGAGCTTGGAAACAGAGTGAAAAACATTCTTATAGCACTTTTACACAGTCACATGAGGAAAGAACATTTTAACTTTTGTGCTCAGGTGGTTACTGTTTCCTGCGCAGATTTTAAAGGTTTGAGGTTAGGAATTCAAGTTATGTTTATATTTTCGTTGCAGTGACATACAACAATTTTAAGGTGGACAGAACTGTTTTCCTTTGGAATAAAAATGAAATAAAAAAATGTTTTATTGTGATAAAGTTTATTTTTACTCTGTTTTATAAATTACTATGACAGGAAAGGAAATTTATAGTTATATGTTCAAAATAATGTTGTTAAATGTCCATATGATGAAATTTGACCTCTACATTGGAAGGGAAGGTGAACAGGAGCTGGATAATCCATGGCAACATATAGCAGTTCTGTGACTTGATTTAGTTAATTACTTCTACATTCTTTTAATTTAAATAAATGTGTAAAACATGCAAGAAATGAGGGTATCAGGGTTTATAGGAGGAGGATTTTCTTTCATTTTTCACAGTGACTTGTTGTATCAACTCCATCTGTGTTATAGATGGATCTGTTTCACCATAATATCATTATTTCGTTTCAAGAAATTAGGCAGAAATGAAAAATTAAAGTAATATATTTATTTGTGAAGTTTATATTGCAGTGCTAGACAGATTGTGACATTTCGGTGAATAATACATGATGCATAGCCAGCTGACAAATTTTCCTTCATGAATGTTGAAGTGTTAGGGATGTGATATCACACTGCTACTAGTATTTGTGGCTCTTCACCCCAGTCAGTGACCTTTCATTTCTCCCCTCTCTTATGTGGATATTACATTAAAAGGCATGTTGTAATTTATATATCATATCAAAATGGACAAGTAGCAGAATTGTGATTTGTTTTATGAAGTTTATTCCCATGCAAGGTTAACCAGATATGTCCAGAATTTTATAAACATTACTTTTGTTTAAAGTAATTAATGAGTTCAGGCTATTATAGTGGTTCAGTGTTGATTGTACTCTTGGTCCTTTGCACTGCGTAACTGTGGTCAATGTTGCCAATGTTTCATGTGCTGCTTCCATCTTCAGGGTTGGAGTGAATAAGATGAGCAAGTGTCCATGTGTATTCTGCTTTTGGTCCAACAGATATGGGGGCACAGGCATGAGGGCTGGTGCATGGTGTGAGGCAAAAGGACAGTTGGCAGGAAAACATTATAAAATGGCCCTTGTAAGGGCCATCGCTTACATTCAACCCATAGTCATTTCTGAATTGCGAATTTATGTCCCTTTATCTTGGACTGGAAACCAGCCTCCAACCTCACTCCCATTGGTCTCTTGGATCAAAATCTATATATAAATTAACATTTGGCTCACTCTGCTTGTTTGAACCCTGAAGATGGAGGCAACGTGTTGCTGAAAGTACTTTTATAAACATGTTTTAGTTATTACAGCAGAAAGAAAAACAAAAGTATATGGTACGTGATTTTGCTTATTAGAATTAGTTGAAAGGCTTTTAGAAGGGGGCTTCCTGAATTAATTGTTTATGCACTTAGAAATCCATTCCACATATGTTTCTGCCATACAGAAGAGGGAGTTCTCATGGCTCTATCATAAAATAATGATTTAGGCAAGGAACATTTTAGTGTAAAGAAACTGAGAATTAATGTAAGGAGACAGAAATCGAATGTTGTTCATGATTAGACGTAAGTAAATGTTCATAGCGTTTGGGTACATAACGTCACAGTGATTATGAGGTCAATTTTCCATACAGTCTGTTTCCTCATATGTGTGTCCATGTGTGGGTGTGTGCAGGTGTGTAAGGGATGGATGGAAAATGTATTTATGACTGATAAATACATTTCATCATGACAGTCTATTTTACAACATATGATATACCAGTTTCTTTCTTTCCCCCCCATAAATATGTATTTTTTGTAATAGGGCTCAGAAATATGTTTAATGACATCCCATTGCGTATGCAGGTCACATTAATTCTGTTTGCTGCATACTTTATTCAAAAAAATATATTGGTGGTGGGATAAAATCTAAAATATAAGCATGATTGCTGCTTTTATTTATATACTTATGAAAAAATTGCCCACTGAAATTTGTGGGGATAATCTTTGCAGACCTATTCAGATTATTAATGAAAATTAATCATATAATTTTTTATTTCATCTTCAGTTTTTCTGCTAAGTTCAGAACAAGTAGTCAACATGTTATGTATTTTAGCATCCTTTTGCAGTTGGTTTTGGTTTTGTTTACTGTCCACCATGCAACAATGTAAGGATCGAAAATGAAATCCTTCTAAAATTCGTCGCTGCACTACATGTTTTGACTTACTCGGCGATCATCAGGTGCATCATAATTCGTGGGAACTGCCGTGCCTTCAGTGCATCTGTTTTCTTATGTATAATGTTTCTAAATTAAGTCAGTATAGTTCCTGCTATGCCACATGCCTCAGCTGTGTATTTCCATTTGCAAGAATAAAATCAAAGAATGTTGCAGTTGGAAATTGTAAATACGAGAACAGCAATTGCAGTAGCATGGAAGGCACAGCAGTTCCTCCAAATTTCAGTGCACCTGATGGTGGCCGAGTAGACCAAAACATGTAGGTCAGTGATGGATTTGAAAAGGATTTAATTTTAAATATTTACATTGTTGCATTGTGGACAGCAAACAAAACCAAAACTAAATTCCAATTAGTCAACAATATCTTCTCACCATTTGTCACTCTCACAACTGGATCCATAATCAAAATTATTGGATGACAAGATCAGTCATTCATCACATCATTGTCTTCCCCTCTCTTCAGATCTTTTAACTGACACAAAATTTGTTCTCTAGACATTAGTTTATCTTCAGAATAAACTTGTAGACTTTTTTAAATTTCCTTGCAGTTTATCACCAAATGTATTAAATAATGTAATATTGGTTTTATCTCCTGAATGTTTGTCACTCATTTCATTGACACATGAGCAAATGTCAAATAACATTACAGATTCCTGTTGCTCATGTACACTTGGTTGTCGACTTATGCCCGGCCGCACTTACGACCACAAAAAAATGAAAAATAAAAGATGATTAAAATGTAGAAGTTTTTAAAAATAAATTATAAAGATGATAAAGAGATTAGAAAGGTTAAAAAATACTGTTAATAAATATATGGCCGACATAGACCAGATCGACTTACGACCTGTCACTCAGAACAGAAGTCGGTCGTAAGTAGACCACCAAGTGCAATGAGATGTTCATTGTTTGCACCTTAACAGTGTTGTCACTTCTCAGACAGAGTAATGATTGTTTGCTTCAGTAGTATACATGTAAAAGAAACTTACCACGTTAGAGAAATACACATTTATCTTGTAAAATAAACTGAACACATTATGTGGTATCATTAGAGGGGTCCAGAAGGCCCGTCAGTCAGTTGTAAAGTTTGATAGCCACTGACCCAGAAGCGGCTCACTGTATGGAGTAAATGTGTACAGTATGAAATCTCGGCCTCCGTGACATCTATACAAAGTGCAGAAACCCAGGAACCATAGATCTACAGGTCTTGAAAATTACTCTCTTTCTGCATATACTGTTGTGTATTCAGAAAAGTATTTGCCAATGTTTCAAGGAGCTATCTGCCTCTCTCTTCAGGGTAGAAGAGTAAGAATAATTCATAGAGGAATTCTCAATGAGATATTATTGAATAATAATCTTGTTCACGCAAAATGACTACCTATTTAGGCTAGACAGTACTGGTTAGAAATAATAGTTTTTGATATGAAGTTCAGTATGAAAACTATTTAAAATCTGTTCAAATAGTTGATACAGGTGGACAGATAAACGTTAAAAAAATATCATCATCTATTCATTGATGTTTTTATCAAAATGGGTCCTCTTGTGATAAAGCCTTCTCCATTCTTGTCTGTGCTATATTTATTTCTTTTGTATCTATGTGTACATTTTTCTGCTCTGTTTTGCAAATTTGCTATCATTTGGGTGTCTCCACATAGTCATTTGAGTCCCTAAAGGTTGTTTATTCAGAATGCTTATGTCATAAAGATGTCACAAAAGCACATGTTAGAATTTTTAATCTTTTAACTGCTATGTTAGGAATTAATGGCAGTTTAGAAAATGGGCCATGAGAGTTTTTTCTTGGATTAAAGTGTTGTATGACAGAAACATATTTGGGAATGCCAGCTAAGTTGTTGACTGAATGTTATTAAACAGAAACAGGACAGTCTCAGTTGCCTTGCTAGCGATATCCCATATGTGTTGTGGATGGGCTGCTGTGTGAACACTCTGTTTTCTGTTTTCTCCCCTCATGCGGTGCAGCTTTACATGCAAGAACTCAATAAGCAAAGGGAGATGCTCTACACTGTGGAACTGGTATGTCACGCTCTGTCGTTCGTTCACTCTTCACTTCACTCTTTGTGCGCTGATGTTGACTGCAATGTGACACTGATTTTTTTTTTGTGCTTATTGTGATGTCAGTTTAATGATGTGAACATTCCTTGGAGTGCAGCATTGCAGTGTTTAATGTACCTGTCTCTGATTTAAGATGACTAGATTTGATTCTCATACTTAAGTCACTATTCTGACTTCAGATGCCTAAAAATGCTGCTCAGTTCATTGCAGTAGTGACAGTAAAGTTACAAATATTTTATTAGGCATTGTCCATTGTGTGGAGTATATTTGACATACATAACATGACAAGAAATGGATTCATTTCTGTTGTCAGATATGAGAAAGGAAAGCATCTTGCTCTGTTGGACTTGCTAGAAATAATTTAGAACAGTTTCAGTTGCAAACAGATCCAATTTCTCAAACACTGTGTCATTGCCACAAATGTTTAAAGACTCAGAAGTTCTTCACATGTGTGAACTCCACTCCATCATGACATGTAGTAGAGTAGGATTCAGTTGAGTGGGTAGATTCACTGTCTGGCCATCTTTACCGTGAGGGAAGACATCTGGTATGCCCTGGATAGGTACATGAGTAGGCTCCAGTTGATCTGGCTGCCATAGCTGGATGTCCTCCATTTGTATCTCAGCTGGAACATTGTCCTGATTGAAGTTTTTCTTGGTTCTCCAAAGTCCCTCCAGACAAATCCCAGGGTAGTACCTTGATTAGATCAGGGCTGCTACTTCCAGATCCTTTCCTGTTCACCATTCATTAAGCCTGTCATTCAATAATGTATAGTCTAGATACTGACTGTTATTAAATATCTTACCACTCATCATAATAGATCCCACAGTCAGGATAGACTGATCACAATGTCAACACTGCTTAATCATAGTCAACAATTTCCACTATTTTTATTCTAGTAAACTTATTATTTTCCCCCCTAGTTTTCATAATAAATTATCAGTATTTTCAAATTGTGTTCATTCTCATTACTGTGACATCAGATAAATAAAAAAATAAAGAAGTATTATTGATGTCGTAATTTTGTTTGTCAGTGAAGAAGAAAAGATTAAAGAATTTAATGCAGTCAGAGTCACCAGTTTTGTTAATTGCATTAAACTGGTATTGTGTCTCATTCTATCTGCGATGTGTTCAGAATCTTAGTTATCACTGCAATCATGGAAGTTAATTTTTCTATGCAGTAACATTTAAAATTAATTTGTTTTTGCTGTTGATATTTAAGGTGACTTTTTTTTTAGAATCTGTGTCCTGAACACAAATGAATATGGGGTGTTGTCTGTTCATATATCTTCCTATAATCTGTTATTAAATTTGGAAAAAAAAAAATATCCTTCATCTTATTCAGTATGAAAAAAATAGCTCTGACATTCTGATAAAATAGTTTTACTCGTATGCATCATGGGGGTGGGGGAGCTTTCAATATGCTGGAAAGGAGAAACTCCTGTGATGTTCAGACATCACTTAAAGACTGGGTAGATTTATGCCAGTTGTATTATGCCCATGTAGAATTTCATCAGATTTTCCAAGTATGATTTCAGAAGGATTAAAGGCAGCCATTTTCCTTTAGATGTTAATTTCATGAGAATAAATTCTGGACTATTGCAGACAGACATAGGACAGATGAAGAGATGCCTGAAGAGGTTATATAATACAGGTCCTTACCAAAGAAATTTGAACAAACCACAGCATACAGTATAAAGTCTTCATACATTATCCATTTGAATTTAACTATCCTAACTAATGCACTGAGTCCATGTTTAGAAGCCACCAGTCAATCAGCTGCTCATGGAACCTGAAAGTTTATTACCACGATCACAGAAGCCCTCCACTGGGCCAGATGAGTGCAGTCTATACTAACCCATCCTGTATCCCCAAGATTAAGCTGACCTTATTGTATAATTTATACTGCTGAAATTTTTATTGGTATGTGAAGACATTTGTCTTGTTGCTTGCATAAGAATACCAAATACAGTCACAAATTATCTGGAACATGATGAAACAGTTACAGAAAATTTTAATTCTGAAGTATCATCTTTATGTGCATCCATTTATTCATTTGTAACTTATTTAAAGATGCTGCCAGCAACTCAGGCTATAATGTTAGGTGATAGAATTAGGGTGAATAATGAATTAGGAAGTATATGAAAAGAATCAATGATGGCCTAATTTGAGACAGTCCTAGAATTTTCTTGGAGGTAAAAAAAAGGTAAAGTTGTCCCTGTGCTTAACTAATTAAGCACTACACCAAGAAGGCATAAGGGGGAGTGGATGTATAGATCCACATTTTCTTGACTTCAGCAGAAGTTGGAAGTGAGTGATCAGCTTCACGCCCTGGCCGCTTTACCCCCAAGGAAAGAGTCCCTGGTACCCATTGGAGAGGAGATTGAGTGAACCCCAGAGCCAGTCTGAATGACTAGGAAAAGAGAAAATTCTTGGCTTTACCGGGACTCGAACTTCAACCCGTCAGTCTTCCAGTCCATAGCCAGTCTCTATACTCACTATACTATGCCAGCTCCCCCTGAGGAAAACCAGGGAACACCTTAATCAGACAGTCAGTGTGCCAGTTGAACTTTGAATCAAGTACATCCCAAATACAAGTCAGAAGAATTGGGAGGGTTGGAGGATACAGCAACACCTACACAAAACATCGAGACATGGCTCTGAACCGGTTCCATCCATCTTTCTTGCCTCTCTTCTGTGGCCACAATTTCCAATTTAGTGGTTTTCTCTGATCTCCTCCTCAGTATCTAGGTGGATACTTTCCCAACAAATTTTCCACCAAAATTGAAATGCTCAGGCATCTCAAAATTTGAAATCACAGCTATCAGTTGTGCCAACTTGTTCATCCCTGTTTAATATGATCTTGATGCCAATCTTCACCTTTTCTGTAGTGGTCTTTTGCTATGAGTACAGATTATTCAAACTTCTGTGAGGTACAAGCAGAAATGCATGTGCTTTGCTTTCAGTATCAGTATCATTGTACAATAGGTAAAGAGCAAACAGTATTCTACATCCATACTTGCATATTGCTTAATCAGCCATAGTTACCACGCTCTAATGGCTGTAGTTACTGTAATGTTGGCAAGAATACAGAGTGAATGTCAGTTATATCTTTGGGTCTCCTCTTTTCAGTCTGCAGTAGCAAACAGGAAATGGGCAGTAAAATTAAAATTAAATTTGCATAGTGGGGAGTGGAGTCCAACTGGGTCCACTCGGCACGGCGGCCACTGATTGACCTATTATAGCCTGACCCGGGTGATTATGATGATGGAGAATTTGGCGGAATGAACATTGGCAGGGGAAACCGAAGTATTCGGAGAAAACCTGCTCCAGTGCCACTCTGTCCACCACAAATCCCACTTGACCAGACCCGGGATCGAACCTGGGCCGCCGCGGTGGGAAGCCAGCGACTGACCGCTTCAGCTGTTGTGCGGCGAAATGGGCAGTAAGACAATGGGAAAGTTACACACACACACACACACACACACACACACACACATTAGATCAAAAAATAGATTGTCATGGTTTGAACACCATTTTGTTTTCTTTTAAGTAAGGCAGTAGTTAAGAATTAAAGCATATACGAGCAAGGTAATGTTAGTTGGATTAACTTCAGTTTCTGAATATAATGAACAAGCCATATGCATTTATAATAAGAGAAGATAAATTGTTTTATGTTCACATAAAATAATGTAATTTTGATTGTCTTGTTGTGGTCAGCATCATTGCACGTGTTCTGTTTTTCAAATAAAATTTGAAATGTTACAAAGGTCGCTCCAAATAACAAGGCTATAGCACCTAAGTAACTTGAAAGAAGCTCCACATGGACTCACCATTGTACAGTTCATATTCACAATCACATTTCTTCAGCATGCCCACAGTCAACCTCATGATACTTTAGATGTGTTCTTGGTTGTGACACCACGTAATCGTGTAGACAGGAATCTGCTGCCATCTTCAGAGTTCAAGTGTGCCATAATGTTGTGTCCCTGAAAAGGGCCATTTTCCTGTTTGCTGTTCCAATTGGCCCAGACTGAGCTCCATTCCCCCCCTCCCATTGGATATGTGTGTGGCTGTTTTCCATTCAGCTTGCCAGTTTCATCCAAACGGTTCCTCGCATTGAGCACTTTAATCCTGAAGACACGGACAGTATGTGCCTATGAAACCTTGGTAGCCATTAATAAGACTGCATGATGTCACAGCCTTGAAAGCATCAAATATCTTCATGTTGGAATTGAGGTTCTCACATTCATAATTATGAGAAATACAGTCATCTGGGCTTAATGCCTTGTAGTTCAAAGAGCGTCAAATTTTTCAGATGAACATATTGCCTTCAGCTTGAGAGTTGAAGAGTAAGCGAGCTCGGTTTGCTACCCATTTTGGCTATTTTCTTGCTTGGCTTACTCTTTGGCCCCGAAGATGGAGGCGACATGTTCCTCCAAAATATTGTGCTGTCTCTGAAATACATAGTGTTATAACCTAGCAGACAGTATTGTTCTTATATCTTCATGATGGTTAGTATAATTGCAGGTTTGTATATATACTGTAGATGTAGCTGGTGTAATTCATTCTGTCTTCACAGTATTTATGCTCTTGCTTCATATACTTATATTTGAATGTTTCAGCATCAGTAATGTAGATACTGTCACTGTAGATAGTCATGTAACAACATTCTGTAAAACGTTTTATTTATGCCATACGTGTGTACTAAAAATCATAGTCTAGGTCTTGTGTTGCTGAGTGCAGGCTCTAAAAAGGCAGTTGCGCAGTTTCCGTAGTAATTTTTTAATTTCAAACCCATAAATTCTCTGTTTATAGGCAGCAGTTAATGTTTATTAAGTCGGAACAATATTACCCGACTAGAATTTCCTAAGCTTGGATAAAATGTATACCCACATTGAAGATAATATTTAATTTAATGTAGAAAATGTTTGTAAGCGCATGTAAGAAGAGCAGATTATTATTATTATTATTATTATTATTATTATTATTATTATTATTGGAGGGGTGGGTTTCCCCATGCACAGCGACCAGTGGTCTATTGTACGTCCCTTCTGTGATATTCTACCAGTCTCTATACCCTACCGATACTGGTGCGTGCCATCAGTCCCGACTCAGCCAGCGAGTTCGGCCTCTACTGGCTCAGCGGTATCTCTCGATGCTCCCCCCATCTATCAGAGGTGTTAGAGACTACTGTTGGGTGGGAAATGTCCTATCAATTTGGCTCAGTGGTCCCTTTGGGACATGAGGTTCTTTTACATGCCGTAAAGCTACGACATGGGACCCATGGCTTAAAGTCCCTCCTGGAGGACTTGTTCCCTGAATTTTTCCGCCCTTAAAAATTTCACGACCTCCGCTGGGTTTGAACCTGCGTACCTTGAGATGGGAACGTTACCCCTAGACTACGGAGGCCGCTCAAGAAGAGCAGATGGTTTTTGGATGTGTAAATTATAGAGCTTGCTTCATTAGACTGTTGAGTACACAAGAAGGCTGTGAGAAAATTTGGTGCTTACATGTTCACTCTGATGTCTGCCATAAATAGTGACATGACAGGTGTAAGAGTATTTCTTAAAACATTACATACGTTAGTTCTTTGATGTGTGCTTTCATTACAATAATGAAAATAATGTAGAATGTGTGTAGATCATGTGTTGATGTGCTACATCCTTTCTCTGTCATATGGTGGAAGCAGAATCTTTGGAGTGATCTAACATTCTGTTTATATGGTACATGAAGCTTTCTGTGTTGTTAGCTGCTAGGTAGTAGATACACAGATTCTGGGTGTTTTGTAAATATTATTGTTGGTGTCTTTCTATCAGTTTATGATATACATCTTGTGTATTTATCTATTTATATTTCCATTTATTGATTTGCTTAATAAATTAATACAACATTTAAGAGACAGAACTTTACAGGCACTGTTAAATAATTTATTTTGTCTTTTGCACAGAGGTAAAAAACTGGAAAATTTTGGGAGATGGTATGTTACATCTTGATTAGAGCATCTTGTTACCCCTGTAACTTATATTTATGTTATATTATGCTTGAGGTTTATGCTGTGATCCTTATTCATTGTAGAGTCACCTGGAAATGGCACAGTGTTGAAGTGGTAACCATTACTGTGATTTTTTAAAGAACTGTGCAGTGCTACAAGATCTTCTAATGATATTCATGATCATTGCTTTAATTTTATGTTAATAGTAGAGGAAATTCAGTAACTAGGGCAGTAAGAATGGATTACAGAGTCACATTTCCATTTCTGTATATTAAAACCATCATGCATGTGCATTATGTATTAGTTTTTATGAATTATTTTTTGCTGTAGAAATAATATTTGTTGAAAACAGGAAAATGAAAATTGATAGATAGATGGTGGTTTTTTAGATGAAAGAAATGTTTTAAAAGAAAAAGGAAAATGTTAAATTGTGGTTGTTGACTAACAGAAGTACACTTAATCACAGCAGGAACCCACAGAAACACTGATACAAAGGACATCAATACTTTGTATACATTTTGAACTTGCTTAAGTACAAGTATTGACAGTATGTTGAGAGAAAATATAAGGAACCTTTTCTGTTTTATTGTAAAAAGCAGACCTGATCTCATCAGAGAGAATGATATGTTAGCTTTCAGTGATTATAAGTGGCTGTTAATGAAAACAAATAATAGTTGATACTGTTTAAATACAAAGAACAAGAAAGGTACTGTGATGATTTGGTACAGTCCTAGGCTCCATTAGAAAATAAATAGCATTTTGAATGTTACAGTCTTCTAGGATGTGACACCATGTATTTCAGTAGACAGATGCCTCCATCTTGAGAGTTGGAGAAAAAGCCACACATAGAAACTATGGTTTCCCTCTTAACCCCAGCCTTTGTCCTTTATTCCTCGTGTCATTGACCATTTTCCCCCACTTTTTTACTCTTGTACCTTGAAATAGGCACAGGTCATCTGGAATGTTGGTACTTGTCTACCAAACTACATGGAATCAACATCCCAGATGCCTGTAATCTTCAAAGTAAGAAGTAAGGTGACGTGTTATCTCTGTACGTATACAAATGAGATTTGAGGTTCTTGGCAGTGGGTGTGAAAAGTACTGTGTTCTGCGATGTGATGCCATGTAGTCTGGTAAAAGTATACCCAGATTCCTCCAGAGCATCGATAAATTTCTACGAGACTACACAGCATCAAACCCCAGAAGATGGTACTCTTGAGAGCCTCAAACCTCATTTACACAGGTACACAGTTCATTTCTGTGTAGGGGCATGCGATAGCGTCGTTGGTTGAGTCACTATGCTAAAGCTGGAAGGTCACAGGTTCAAGTCCTGATGAGGTCATTGGATTTTTTTTCAATTGACCTAATCCTTCCAGCCACACTATGGCCCTGGGGTTGACTCAGCCTCTAACAAGTACCAGGAATATTCTTGGGGGTAAAGGGAAATCGGTGCATAGGGCTGACAACCTTGCCGCCATCTATGAACCAATTGTCTAGAAAATGTGGGAGCCTCAACGTCTCACAATCCTATGGGCCTCGATGGCCTGTTACGGGGATAGCTTTACTTACTTTACTTTTTCTACAGAGATGCAGATTGGAAAGTTCATTTCTGTGTGATGACTGTATAGGACTGGCAATGGAAAGTACATTGGGACCTTGCTTGCTAGGAATTTGATTCCTTTTGTTAGTAAAATTATTTCTTTTAATGTAGATTTGGTCATAGTTTCAAGGTGGGATGTTTGCTTCCCTACACAAATTGTTTGATGGTTAAATTGAGAAATATAAATATATGTCAGACTGACTGTTACTGGTTAATGTAGTCATATGGAGGATACAGTCTTCAGGACTGTAACGCTATGCAGTTCAGAGAGGGTCTGATGTTTTAGAGGATCTTATCATCTCCATCTTCAGTGTTGTAGCTCAAACCAAGCAAGAAACCAGCTGGAGAAGGCTTACTCTTTTACCCCGCAGATGAAGATGATACAAGTATGTTCCTTTGAAACACTGAGCTCTATCCAAACTGCATGATTTTAACAGCCCAGAAGACTCAGTTCTTCATAGTTACAATTGTGAGAACCTTGCATCCAGCAGAAGAAGGTTATGTGTCTGGACAGCTCTAACAGATTGCATATAAGGAAGTGGGAAGTATATCTACCACTGTTTTGAAACCTGAACTGCAGTTGTGTTGTGGAGGCAGTTGAATTGGTTGTTATGTGTAGGAGCGTGAGCGAAGAAGGCAACACATGGTACTTGTGAAAGCACTAGAGGCACGCAAACGCCTGGAGGAACGTGAACGTAAACGGCAGGAGGTGAGAGCTGAGAAGATGGCTAGCAAAGAGCGCAAGTTGGAGCAGCGTCGCATTGAGCTCGAACTGGTCAGGGAGCTGCGAAAACCAGTAGAGGACATGGAGATTTCGGGTGAGAATAAATTGATATGGTTATAAGAATCTGTATCTGTTATTGGAGCTGTGTAAGCATAGCAGAGGTCTCTACTAAGTGTAGTATCGTGTTGTAACAAAGCGCAAAACATATATTGCTGTTCTTACTTTGCACTTCAAAACCATATATACAAAAGGCCTAGGCTTCTGTTGTCACTATATAGCTTTGTTAAGAGTCATAGATGATATTAGTAATGCATAAGACCAGTAAATGGTAGAAATAAACACCAGCAGAAGATATTTATACTTCAGTTGGTTTTTTGGGTCTCAAGTCTTCACAAGAAATCCCTGGAGAGCAGCAATGCTTATTCCACAACTTTCCAAGTCCATAGCATGCCATGAAATTGTGATTTCAGAATGTTATTCAGGGGCTGTAATGCATAACAGTGGATCAGTGGAAGGTTTATCTGTTGAAATCATGGCTGGTGGTTATGAAATTTTGGTGTGCTTTATGCTGGTACTTGATAATTTGTAAATTAAAACTGCCAGTTGTTTATAGCAGGACACAGTTATTCCCAGTCATGAAAAAAAGATTGCTGAAAGCAGGAAAATATGTTACATCACGCATCTTTTATATTTGTCACTCATTTGCCACATATGCAGGGCCCGGATTTTGATGACCTGAAAATATTTAAAAAATCACCTATAAAATGACCGAAAAAATCCAGAAAAATGACCTAAAGGAGAAAAGAAAGAACTTTTATGTTATTCACATTTCAGAAAACATATGAAGAAAAATTCCTTAAAATGGCCAAAAATCACAAAAAATACCCTTAAAAGCCCATAAATTTAGCAAAAAATTACCCCAAAAATGAAAAAATAACGTTAAACCTAAAAGTGTCAAAAAATGACAAAAATTACCTATAAAATTTACATTTCTGTAACCAGCAGCTCATATCCAAGATTTATGTATTTAAGAGCGTTGCATAGGATACAAGGAAAAAAAGATGACATGTCATCAAAATCCCGGCCCTGGTGATTACTTTAAACATTAACAGTTCCCCAGCAGCAGACGTGCAGTGGACTACCATATGCACTATGAAAGAACTAGTTGTAATTGCATCTTTATTGAGAAACTGAGGAAAGAAGAGAGATGAAAAGATGGATGTGAAATCATCATTTTGTCATATAATGCTGTGGCAAGACATGAACATTTGTTTGTTTTCTGCTGTGTCTAGTTGTATACCAATCTCCATGTAAACTGTTGATAGAATGTGTGTTTTCTTTTGTGATATTTGTATCTGTGCTTAATGAATCAGTATTATGATGTTATATCTCATTTGTAATGTCATGAAAGGGGCGAAATAATTTAGTTCAAAATGAGTGTTGCATTTGATTTTGATTTTTTTTTCTTCTACAGATCATAAAGCACTGCCAACACTAAATAGAATCCCTGGACTAAAACTCTGTGGTCAGGCATTTGCTGACACACTCATGGTCTTCGAGTTCCTGCACAACTTTGGGGAGACACTTGGATTTGGTGAGTGTTTATCCAAGACTGTACACTTCTTTATATTATTTGTTGTAGGTAATGGATATTGTTATTAAACTAGATGAATCATTAAGGGAGGAACATAGACTGAGGGTGTTTGAGAACAGGGTGTTGAGGAGAATATTTGGACTGAAGAGAGATGAAGTGACAGGAGGTTTCAAGAAAACTGCATAATGAGGAGCTTCGTAACTTGTACTCACCAAGTGTTACTAGAATGATGGAGCCAAGGAGGATGAGATTGGCATAGCATGTAGCATGCATTGGGAGGAGGAGAAGAAGAATGTATACAAGATTTTGGTTGGAAAGTCACAAGGAAGGAGACCACTAGGAATACATAGACATAGATGGGAAGATAATATTAAAATGGATCATGTTGGGAAATGCTTGAGTGGCCGAGCAACTGGTGACTTCTCAAGAAGGCCTCAGCTCCATGGAGTTAGTTTCAGGTGAATGTGTGTGAATGGAAGCTATTCACTCATATGGCAATCTTATAATATGTACAAGTATTTAAACAAAGATGATATTCATAAGGTTGTGTGGTACTTACTTACTTACTCATGGAGCTGAGCCCTTCTTAAGGAGCCGCCAGTGCTGCAGCTACTCAAGAATTTCCCAGCATTTTATTTAACCCGAAGGTTCATTACCGTGTTCACGAGAGCCCTCCACTGGTCTCTAACCTGAACCAGATCAATCCAATCTATCCCATCCCATCCTATCTCTCTAAGATCNTATATTATACTTGATTATACTTGGAGAAGAGTACAAGTTATGAAGCTCCTCATTATGCAGTTTTGTCCAACCTCCTCTCACTTCAATCTCCTCTTCGGTCCAAATATTCTCCTTAGCACCCTGTTCTCAAACACCCTCAGTCTATGTTCCTCCCTTCATGTCAGAGACCAAGCTTCACACCCATACAGAAGCACAGGCAAAATTATTGTTTTGTAGATTCTAATTTGTGTTTTTGGCTTCTTGTCTGCTGTCCAAGGTTATGTGGTATAGTTACTAAATGCAAGATTTTTCACATTCACCCTCAGTCTGTGTTCCTCCCTTAATGTCAGAGACCAAGTTTCACACCCATACAGAAGCACAGGCAAAATTATTGTTTTGTAGATTCTAATTTGTGTTTTTGGCTTCTTGTCTGCTGTCCAAGGTTATGTGGTATAGTTACTAAATGCAAGATTTTTCACATTCAAATGATACCAGTGGTAAAAGATTAAATGACATTAATGTTGGTATCTGCCCACAAGACTTTGGTGGCATAATCAAAGAAACTACAGAGTGTAGAAATTATGTGATTTCTTCAATGTAGAAGGGGACTGTATTTTCTAAAAAAAAATTTATGGCGGAAATGGAGGAAGGAGTCCGTGGATTTGACTGGAATTAATATATGTTGTGCAGAACATATGTAAGTATATGTATAAAAAGAATTATTCTGTTTGGCTGATTTGTTACACAGGAAAATATGTTCCATATTGAATATTAAAAATGTGTATTTGTACTCTTATTTTCCCCCTGCAATGTAAAAGTGCCTGATGCTAACTTCTGTTGGATTTGTCATATGAACAGAGTGGCCATCAGATTCTCCAGATTTAAGGCATCAGGTTACTGTGTTTGAATGAATGTAAACAGTGTTGTATAAAAAAAGGAAGAGAAACTTGTTTCAGTCCTTGGAGTTACTGCAGCAGAGTTGAGATTGCGTTTCTGCTGATGAATGGCAAAGAGATATTCCAAAAAACAGTGGGCTGCTTACTTATTTGTGACCTGTTGCATTACTTACAATCATGTAGTAAATTAATCCAACAGTTTATTGCTGTGGTATGTATGTATGTGTCTAAGGGGTGGGCCAAAGCGGCCTCCGTAGTCTAGAGGTAACGTTCCCACCTCATGACTCGTAGTACGCGGGTTCAAATACCTGGCGGAGGTCATCAAATTTTTAAGGGCGGAAAAATTCAGGGAACAAGTCCTCCGGGAGGGACTTTAAGCCGTGGGTCCCCTGCCGTAGCTTTACGGCGCGTAAAAGAACCTCACACCTCCAAAGGAGGTCACTGAGCCAAAATTGCGGACGTTTCCCGCCCAACAGCAGTCACTAATACCTCCGGTAGATGGGGGAAGCATTATAGATACTTCTCAGCCGGTAGAGCCGGTCTCGCTGGCTGGGCGGGACTGATGGTAAGCACCAATACCAGTAGGATATAGAGACTGGTATAAAATCATAGAGGGAAGCACACTGGACCACTATAGGTCTAAGTGCATGGGGAAACCCACCCTCTCTAATAACTAACTAACTAACTAAGCGGTGGGCCATAAAATCCGGCCCTTGTACCGCGACCTTCAATGATTATTCCCCTTTGGATTAACCTTTTATTAATCCTATATTTCGAATGAAATGTAGGACTTTATTTATGGGAGCGTCATAGAAGTCACCTGGTCCAATGAAGAACCAATCAAGGTGATGAAATCTTAAATAAGCTATGCCCTCACAATCATATAGGGTATGTTTTGCTGATTCATCTTGTTGTAGGCACCTTTCACAGGTTGTGTCATCTGTCAATCCCAGTTTGTTGCTGTGGTAACCCAGTTTAATAATATCACAGCTTTCTTCTTGCTGTTATATTTTATATAGAGCAAGAGAAATTTTACTTTTTATGCCTTGTTATGTTTGCAATTGGTTTCAGATATGGAGAGCTTGCCGAGTCTCAATGGCTTGCAGATGGCACTCCTTAATGACGAGGTAGCAGAGGAGGAGCTTCTGTCGGTGATGACACACCTCCTGGTGTGTGCCATCGAAGACCCTGGTATCCCAAACCCAGCCCGGCATACCACAATACTTGGGCAGTCTCTCAAGCAGGCGGACATTACTCACAGCAACCTCTCTGAGATTCTCCGTGTCTACCTCTATGCCAATGCAACTGGTGAAGTTAAGGCATTGACAGGTGAGTTAAATTATGAATGTTTTAAATCCAAACCATATGCCTATATATTGTGTTAATTTATTTGTGTTTTTATTTGTTCCAGTGTAATGTGTACAGAAATCAGAACTTAAACTGATTATGTGTGACAGGCAGTTTGAAGTTGTTTGTGGTGGTTTTGTTTTTCAGGCATTCATTTTGAACGAGATCGGGAGAAGAAATCTGACCATCACAATGTTTATGGTGAGGTGCAACCTCCATGTGGGAAGAATGCAGCATTTTTTGAGCAATTGCATGAGAATCCAACATGGCGGATGTCAGAGTGGCTACATGAGCGTCCATTCCTTGCCCTCAACCCTACCCACAAAGCTGCTATACTTGCATTTCTCTGTAATGAACTTCTGCAGAACAAAGCTGTTATACGACAAATTGATAATTCCATAGAAACTGTCGGACAGCTTCGCAAAGATCGCTGGGTTTTGGACACCAAGATTAGAAAGTAAGTGTAGGTTATATTGTTCTGCGTGATGATGGTGATGACATCGCCAACAGTTATAATGAAATACATAATTATCCTAATATCTATCTTACACCGCGCCATAGCTCAAATGGTTAGTTGCTGGCTTCCCACCGCGGTAGCCCGGGTTCAATCCCGGGTCTGTTCAAGTGGGATTTGTAGTGGACAAAGTGGCACTGGGGCAGGTTTTCTCCGAGTACTTTGGTTTCCCCTGCCAATCTTCATTCCACCAATTGCTCAACAATCACCCTCACCTATCATCAGCTGGTACAATAGGCCAGAAGTGGCCACAGTACAAGGGACTTAGTCCCACCCCACTAGCAATAAAAAGATCCTAACATCTGAACACTGTACCATGAAGACATGAGGGATGTGGAGGTAATACTCCAAACATTCTAGACCTAAGCGCTAGATAAAGAGGCAAGAGGTAGGGCACTGTGATCTGGCCACTTTACCTTTGCAAAAAGTTTTCAGTATTAACTGAATAAGATTGGGATGACCCCAGAGCCTGCCTGGACATTATGATTACCCCCCCCCCCTCCAAGTGAAGTTGGCGCTGTGCTTATTTAACTAAGTATTATGTCAAAAAAACGTGGGGGTTGGAGGTATAGCTCCATCATTCTTTTGACTCAAGACTAGGTGGAGGTGAGTGGTCAGCTTCACACACTGGCTGTTTTGCCGTGGAGAAATTTTCCCCGGTAACCATTAAATATGACACTAGGTGGTCCCCATATCCAATCTGGACACTATGGAGAAGAGAAGGAAGGATCTTTCCTCTCCCGGAAGTCAAAGCTGGGCATCCAGCCTGTAGTCTATCATTGTACCAGCTGAGCTATCCTGGCTCTTCTGAGTATTATGGCAAAGAGAAAAATTCCTTCAACTTCACAGCTGCTTGGAATCTAACATTAATTGTTAGCTTGTAACTGGTACTTAACTGTTTGAGCTCACCCAAATGCCTCTCAAGAATTTTATATTGTCGATTGATGGCCAATGCTAGGGATTGTCTTGGTAAACACATTCCTGCAGCAACAGATACACATGCTACAATAGAAGTACTGTTGATAGGATGGGATGGATTGGATTGGTCAGGCTCAGGATAGGGACCAGTGGAGGGCTCTTGTGAACATGGTAATGAACCTTTGGGTTCCATAAAATGCTGGGAAATTCTTTAGTATTTGCAGAATTGGCCACTCCTCAAGAAGGGCTCAGCTCCATAAATAAGTAAGTAAGTTCGAAAAGGGGTTTCTTACGGTAGTCTGTGCTGAGGGGCTATAACGAGGACAACTAAACCAAGACTAGGCAGTTGGAAGGGAGCTGCCATTCAGAGAGGACTAGCCATTGTTAGAAGCCATTACCAGAAAACGTCTAGTAAAGACACTGTGGGCTGGAAAAGACTTAGCATATGTGCTAGTTATTTGTTAAGTATGTAGAAAATACCGATGGCACTGTAATTAAGTGCAATCACAAGTTGTTTGTTAAAGTGGTCAGTAAATCTACACATATTGTGTGACAGTATCCACTGTTTGGATGTTTCTCCCAGTGTCCATGCTGCATGAGGGGTGAGATCAATTAGGGGAGTGCTTGCTGAGGTGATACATAGAACCACCACAGAAACTGATAAGGCCCAACAAGAATCCAGAAGACAGTGGTTAATGGGCCTGCAGTGAAGGTTTTAACGTACCAGGCAACATGACATTGGATCTTGATGATGCTTTTAGAATGACAAAAAGGCTCATATAATAAAATTTTGGTTTTCAGGTTGCGGATGCTTCATGGCCGGAAGATACGACAGGTGGCGCAGGTGCTGCCGAACAAACTGGAGAATAGCGGATGTGAGGAATCGAGCGATATAGGCGGAGTGGAAGGGAAGGTTAAGTTGGGAGAAGATGCGGACGATGAGAACGATGAAGACGCTGAAGATGCGGAGAGTGGTAACGAAAGTGAAGGCACTCAGCCTGAGGAGGTAAGAATTTAAGTCACGTTCATTTGTTTTGCTGCATTGTAAGTGTGACTTTGTGTGAAGCAAAAATTGCAATGATAGAAATTGAAAACCGACGAGTTAACAAGAGTTGATTCTAATGGAAGTAATTCTGAGTGTGAGGAAAAATTTAGTTTGTATTTGCCACTAAAATTTAAATTTAGTATTATTGAATGTTTCGCTTAGTGTGGGGTGGAGTCCAACTGGGTCCACTTGGCACAGCCGCCACTGATTGGCCTATCGTAGCCTGCCCTGGGTGGTTATTATGATGGAGAATTTGGTGGAATGAAGATTGACAGGGGAAACCGAAGTACTCGGAGAAAACCTGCCACAGCGACTAACCGCTTGAGCTATGGCATGACCTTTATTGAATGTTAGATTTTATTCTAATATGTTTTTAATAGTAGCTACTGTCGTGGTTTATTTGGTCTGTATTGGCCAGTCATGCTGCCACTATTCTTAATAGCCTAAGCAGTGGAATCATGCAAGCATTATGTACCATATTTACTCAATTTACCCAATATTTTAACCAAATTTTTTGTGTGTAAGCTATGGTGTGTAAAATTTATGAGTACTACTTTTCAGTATATAATTTTATACATGAGATTGAGGTAAGGGAAATTGTGGCTACATAATATTTAGAAAAAGTTAAGAGATTGAGAAATAAACATTATTTCCCTTCTTCTCTGCATAATTTTGAGCCTCTCTGTGAAACTGTTATATTTTCCCAAGTTGGACACATTTACTTACTCATCTTCTGACATAAGACAGTATGAATATGATGCTGACTTTACTTCAGTGCTAAAACTAAACTTTCATTGAAATGTGTTGTGTTCAGAATAATAAGTATGAAAGAAATATAAGAAACAAGGAAAATATGCAGCACTTACCTCATTTTTATATGTTTGTCAAGAGCTGAACACATTGCCGTGATTTGGGATAGAATAAATTGCAGAGAACAAAGATATCCTCATTGCATTGTCACGCCTCTGTATGTATCACCATTAATCCCATTGCACACTTCAAGCCAAAGACATTGTCATGATGTTAATCACTTTATTACAGCATTGCTGTCAATAGACAGGATCAGGTATGATATATCAGTGTTTAAAGGAAAGAACAGGCATTCACATATCCATAGCTGTGATCAGGTAATCTATGAAAATATTCTGGGGCTTTCTGTGCAACTGCATTTGTCTGCAGACAGCCATGGCATTTGTAGCAGATTATTCTGCAGTATGTCTTGACAGTCAGAGAGCTAAATGTGGTGAAGGTTTGAAATACATTAATGACTATATGTGATACATTCACTATGAATTTCAACATTTGCAACCATTCTTTTTCCTGTAGGATGAAGACAAAAATTTAACAGCTGAAGAACTGAACCGTAAAGTGGAACGCCTGATGAGACAAAGTGACAACTCGCTCCAGGCTCTCAGCACATCAGCTCAGCAACTGCGAGCCATTTGCTTTGGTCAGGATCGATTCTGGCGACGCTACTGGACATTGCCTTGTGCAGGAGGAGTGTTCGTTGAAGCCATGGAATCAGCAGAACCGGAGATCTACACTGACTGTGAGGAGAACAACGGACAGGTGACACTGAAGCAGACGTTTTCAGAAGGGACCACACAAGAGAAAGGGGTTTGTAGATGAAAGACCTTATCTGTTTGTTGTTGGTTTCTAAAGCAAAGGGTTATGTACTTTAAGTACTGTTGCTAGGCTTGGTGAGGATGGTATCATTTTATCAAGTCTTGATGTGTGAGCAGGCTTAAAACAGAGCCTAATGCCCAACACATGCCAGCCTATATTGTGCCTTTACAGTGTTAAAATGGTAAACACGAGATTCAAGAACAACTGAATTCTCTGTTGGTGATTTTCATAATAACAGTTGTGGTAGTCAAATCAGTGTAGGGATTAAGCTACACCTAGATGACCTAGGAAACGGAGTTTGATTCCCTGCAAGAGCAAGAACTGTTCAACTCATGTCCAGACCAGTTCTGGGGCTCACTTAGCCCTCACCCCATCCATTGGGTTCCAGTGCTATTTCCCTGGGAGTAAATGGGTAAAGCATTAAGCTCTCCACTGATTTCCACCTTCTGCTGAGTTTAGGAATGGATGGATTCTTGTCTCCATTCTTGCTGTGTACTTTTTTTTTTTCACTTAGTAGGGGGTGGAGACCAACTGGGTCCACTCGTCATGGCGGCCACTGATTGGCCTACTGTAGCCTGCCCCAGGTGATTATGATGATGGAGAATTTGGTGGAATGAAGATTGGCCGGGGAAACCAAAGTACTCAGAGAAAACCCGCCCCAGTGCCACTTTGTCCACCATAAATCCCACTTGACCAAACCCGGGATCGAACCCGGGCCACCACGGTGGGAAGCTAGCGACTATCTACTTGAGCTATGGCGCGGCCTGGCCTATGTACCTTCCGGCATTGATACTTACACACAAAGCCAGCTAACTCCCATTCGTATATGACAACTGAAATTCTCATGGCAGTGATCATGAAGATTACTATCTTCTGGGATGTGACTCCGTGCAGTCTGAGAGATCATCGTCACTGTTTCAGATGAACCTGCTGCCTCCATCTTCACAGTAGAAGAGGTAGAAGGTACATGTAGACCACAGGTTCTTCTGAAACATTGGTAATGATCTAGACTGCATTCCATCACATCCCAAAAGATGCTGGCCTTTTCCTGCTGTATCAGTGTTACAGTGATCTGTGGTTCATTTATCTGTGTTTTCTTGTACTCATAAGGGCACAGTTTGTGCTGCCAGTTTTATTGTTCGCTTTACAGGTACATTTGTCTGGTGCTGCAGTGTGATCACTGTAGTGGCAATGCCGTAGATTTCCATTTAGGGTTTAGTCTTTTCTTTTCTCAGCCATGAGACTAGCCGTCCTGTCTGACACTTCTGTGGTTTTCCTCATTCCCTCCAGGCAAATGCAAGGATGGAACCTCAGTTGGGTCACAAGCACTTTCTTCCCAGTCCTTTCCAATTCATCCTACAAACTGCTGCTGTATATAATTAATGTCCATATATTTGTCATCCATCAATATTGCAACACTTGTTTATTCACTATTTAGTTTTAATTTTTGTTTAACATTATACACTTTGACGCTACATGTTTCGGCCCCATACAGCCATCTTCAGGTGTCTTGATATGTTACAAATATTTTATTAAATTATGTTAAAACTACTACACTGTCTTAGTCCATGTTAAAATCACATGCTGTAGTTCTCTTTTCAAGGTAAAACCAGATAAAATCCTTTAAAGTCTCTGTTATACCCACGTTATTTTGGTACATTTTATTTCACCTCACAAGGGTTGTCGTCCATTGTTCATAAATGTATTGTCTGTCCAGGGTGTTTTGTTTCGGCAGCTTGGCCCTCACTTTCATAGCCTACTTTTTAGTTATGGCTGCCATATGACCCTGGGTTGCTTGTTGTGTTGTCTTTACTAGTCTTTTTAACACGGACTAAAACAGTGTAGCAATTTTAACATAATTTAATAAAATATTTGTAACATATCACGACACCTGAAGATGGCCATTTGGGGCCGAAACCTGTAGTGTCAAAGTGTATAATGTTAAACTAAAATTAAAATTAAGTAGCGAATAAACAAGTGATGGAATATTGATGGACAATAAATACATAGACATTAAGTTAAACAATTACAACAGGCTGCTGAAATACAGAAGCTGTATAATTAGTTACTGACAGTGTTGTAAAATGACTGAAAAGGATGCTGGAATTGTCGTGCCTTCTTTGCATATGTAAAATATTGTAGGGTTTTACAAATTCTTGTCTGTGCAGTGATTTTTTGCAGTCTTATGTTTTTCATTGCAGCTGAAAGAAGATAAGGAAATAAATAATAAAGATGATCCACTTAAAGAATCCGCAGACGAACAGCAGAATATGATGTGTGAGGAACGGCTAAAGCGCAGTTTGGAGTTGTGTGCCATGGAAACAGAGGATGAAGAACTGAAGGTGGACGCTGAGGAACTGGCTGCTGCTCAGAAGGAGGATATGAAAATTGCGGGTGACAGTGAGGAATGTGCCGAAATAAAGAACGAACATAGAAAAAAACGAGCAAGAGAGAAAGATGAATGTGTCGATATGGGAGTGGGAACAGATGAATCGTCTTCCTGGGAAAGAAGTGAGGAAAGTAGAAGGGAAGGAGGGGTAGAGGAGAAAATGGAAGTGGAGTCGGATAAGGTAGAAGGTGACGATGAACAGGTTGTGAGTGAGACAAATGGGAAGAAGGAAATATGGAAGAGTGTTGAAGGAGAGGAGAAAGGTGCACTGGAGGTTGAACGCACATGCAATGCAAAGAGGCAGACTGAAGAAATTTGTGATGTGGATACAAGCAGGGAAGAAGAAAAGACTGATGAAAAGGAATTAGTGATGGAAATTGGGGAGTGTGTTAATAGTACCAAGAGAACATCAATGACAGATGGAAGTGCCGTAAAGTCTGAAGAGAGCATTATTACTAAAATTAGTGATGGCAAGATAGAGATAGAAGGTGATGTGATCTGTGTTCCGAGTGGTTTAACTGTGACCAAAGCTGAAGTGAAAGATTCTGGTGGATCTTTATGTAGTAGGGATGATAGTTTGAGTGCTGTGAAGGTAGAAATTAAAAGCGATTTATTTAGTGCTGAACTTAATGCAGTTAAAAAAGAAGATAAAGGTATTGGTACAATGTGTGTCGACAGTAAGGAAAAAGCTTTGACATTTGGTAACAAAACTCAGTTGGAAGATAGTGAAGATAAAATTCCAGCAACTTTTCTAGTCCATAGACCGATCCAGTTTGAAAGGTTAGGTGAGTGTATGGAAAAGGCGAATGCAGAAATTGGGTCTGTTATAGTTCCAAACAGCGATAAATTCAGTGCTCTCAATCACTTGTACAACTTGAACTCTTCCACTGTGTTCAATAATGGTAAAGAGTTAAATGGCAGTTTCCTGCTCGGTGGTACAGCTGGAATGGTGTCCGGTGAGAGAAATTGGTTTAGCGTCCTACCGAGAGATGCATGTGACTCTACATCAGTAACAAATGGGACCTGCCCTACAAGGTAAGTCTTTAACATTTGCCATAAATTGATGTGCCTTATTAATTTTGTCAGTTATTTCTATCTAGAGTTGTTCTGATGTACCAAGCGCTTGGAAAGATATTTTTTCCTAGACAGTCCACATGTTCAAATCTTGTATCTTCACCAAGCTTAAATGTATTATCCTTGGTGGCCATGGGTTGCTGAGAATTGTCTTTTGAATGCTGATGAATTTCTTGATGCTTCATTGAATTCCTTGATCTGTAAGGGCAATGCTATTTGCAAATGTTGGTTCCAGTTTCCAAGTTGTTTGTGTAAACGTGAATTCATTAGTGTTTTTGTATATGTGGACATGTGTGTGTTTGTGGGTATGTGAATTAATACAGTAAAATCTGTTCTCCAGCATACCAAGACAAATAAGAGGTGAGGCCCAATCACGTGGCCTCTGAGGTCACCAGATGTAATGTCTTGTGGGTTTTATGTCAGGTGTTATTTATGTGGGTACTGAGCATGTGGCCAATTCAAGTAAACTTAGACACCATATGATTACAGCTGCTGAAACATTAGTTCCAGAGATTCCAAGGCTTGTATTGTCAGAATCAGTTACCAATCGCATGTCTGTCATGCCATTAAGTGGGCACACATGAAAATTTATTGACAGGATCTTTTCAAGTTAACTTCCATTTCATTGAACAGCACTCTCCTCTGAGATATGACACCATGTTGTCTAGTAGGAGTTACTGACATATCAGGGGAACATGCTGCATTGAAGAGTAAGCCAACAAGCAGAGTACTCTGCTTTGCTACTTGCTTGGCTTACTCTTCAACCCTGAAGACGGAGGCAGTACATCCCTCTGAAATGTTGAAGAAACTTCTACCAGACAACACGGCAACACAGCCCAGAGGTTAGTAGCCTTAATAGTAACTTCCATGACAATCAGAAATCGTTTATTTCAGTGTTTTGTTTGTTTCCCCCCCCCCCTAATATATTTATTTCTTTATTTATTTGATCGATACTTCAAGTAATCCATACAGGTGATGGAAATTCACCACAGATATAGAAGTAATAACACTATGTAATCAAGGACACTATTTGTATCAATCACAACAATATTTCATATAATACACTAAAACATACTAACATAAATAATATACAAAAGAATAACACAGCTGTAAATAGGTAATATAAAGAACAATTACACTATGTATGATCCATCATTATGCTGACCATTCAAGATATTCTTTTACTGAATAAATGATCTTTTAAAAAAAAGTTTTTAGAAACTAATTTGAATTTTTTAACATCAATTAATTACTAATTAAGAAATTAGCCTTTATAAAACTCCAGAGTCACTTTCTGGACATTGTGTATGAACTGCGCAGTTGGCAAATAATCACTAAATAAAATAAACAGCCATCTGAAATCAAATATTTGAGGTCGGATACACCTTTATTGTTACAATTTGCAGGTGTATGGAAGGTGGAACAGAGTTGCGCATTCCAGTGTTCCCTCCACCATCGAGACTGTCCTCGCCATCACCAGGAGGCAGCCAGTGCGAGTCTCCAGCACCACTTGTTCTTACAGCGGAGGAAATGGTTCAGCTGGAACAACTAAAAAAAATGGGGCCCATGGAGCCTGTGGAGGCAAAGCCTGTCCCTTGTGGTGAGAAGATTATGGCTTTCAATGCAACTTGCAAAACACTTTGCAGCGTTTCTCACAGCAATTGCCATTTGCTGAAAAGTATAGTGTTCAGTTATACATAGCGGTTACCTTCAGATAATGATGTTACACAGATGTACAGTAAACATGCAGTTGTCTGGTATCAAGGCATCTCAAGTTCTCATACATTTTTATTGGGGTCAGTTACTGATGCTTGAATATTTACATGTCCATTGCAGAGTTACGGAGAGGATGGTGGAGGATAACAGATGAAGATCAGCTTAGGACAATATTAGAGAACCTTCATTCACGTGGAGTTCGGGAACGTGAACTTAAAAGGATCCTGTCGAAGTACATTGAACACACAGTGGAGTGTTCTGGCAAGGTTACTATCAGTAGTTACTATAGGATTCTGATGATGGTGCATAACACACAAAGATATTGGGTTTTCGTACTTTATCCATCGTCCTGGTTTTAAGATAACTAAGAAAAACACAACGTTTCACTGGTCCGGTGATTGAGGCTAGCTCTTTATAAGGGACCCAACAGAAAAGGTGTTTTCCCTCACCTGAGGACAGAAACAGAGCCAATTTCCAAAACGTTGTGTTTTTCTTAGTTATCTTAAAATCAGGACGATGGATAAAGTCCGAAAACCCAATATCTCTGAAGGTTACTATCAGTTTGCTTCTTTTTAAATCAGGAACATTATAGTGGATTATATGAGTGTCCATGTACTTGTAACCTAGTTTTCAAGCTGATCTATTTTGTAAAGATTATTGCTGGAAACAAGAAGTAAAAGAGAAAATTTCTAAGTTTAGCCAAGTTACTGAAGTTGAGTTGACCAATCTAGAGAAAGAGCAGTCCAGCTAACAGTGAATGTACAATACAGAATGATGGCCAGAAGGCCAGAACATGTGGTGTAGTTATAAAAAAAGGTGTGTTGATGGAAAGAAATACAACTGAGAGCTTGTTAACTGGATGTAGAATAAACTGTCATACAGTAAGTGACCCACATAATAGAGAAATTTAAAGGAATCAATTATACATTTTATCTCTTCAGTTCATTACTAAAATCACCCTCAAATTATAAAAATATGTCTTTCTATTCCATGCCTTCCATAATATGTTTTGAAAAACAAGTTGGGTGTACAGCTGTGTGTTGCAAGTGGGAACAAGTCAGCGACAGACCTCGCTATCACAGATATGGATCACAAGATCTCTGCTCTGCCTGGCGGGGCCCCTCTAAAGGACACATACTCTGATTGGTTGCCTGATGTTGCACTTCGTGTTGACGTGATGCTGCTGGAGCAAGTGGAGGCACTTGAAGACAAGGTGGCGAATGCGAGCATGCAGGTCAAGGTGAGCGCCATCACTTTTGTTATTGCAAGCCTGGATTAGGTCAGCTATACCAAACTTCTCCTCCTAACGTTATTTCCATGAGTCTGTGGGTGAAAATTGTGAAATCTTTTCTTTCCCCACATTATCCTTTTTAATGTTTGGAAGGTGTCTCTCTTTTCAAAACCACCTTGTACTGGGTCATCCATCCCATAGGCCTTTCTACTTTTAGTTTTAACCCTATTACCCTTACCAGTATCTGTGTTCTGTCCATTACTTTCAGATAGATAAACCATTTAATTGTGTGTGTTTCTACTCTGGTAACAGATTTTGACTCCGGCTGTTCCTAATTTTAATAGAATATTCTTCCCCCCCCCCCCAAATAATGCTTTTCAGTATTGATAGTGTATGGCCTCAGGTGGTAGAATGATAAATGAATGATGATTTAGAAGGAAATTTATGTGACCTAATTGAAGCACTGTCCCAGCTTTAAATGGGAGGGACTTGAAGGACGCCATGAAAAATCTTGACCAGAAAAGCCCTTGTCCGAACTGACATTGCAACTGAGCACCTCCCAGATAGAAGTGTAGAGCATTTACCTGCAGACCAGCCTGTTGAGTTTGAAGCACTCTGTTTATGTTTCATCGATAACAAAGTATTGTGTGTTTCAGTCAAATAACAGCTTTATATACAGGGGACACGCGGTATCGTAGTGGTTGAGATGCTACGCTACAAGCCAGAAGGTCGCAGGTTCAAATCCCAATGAGGTCATTGGATTTTTTCAGTTCCAGCCGCACTAGGCCCTGGGGTTTACTCAGCCTCTAACAGAAATGAGTACCAGGAATTAATTAAATAATTTTCCTGGGGAGTAAAGCGCGGCTGGCGCGTAAGGCTGACAACCTTACCGCCATCTTTGAGCCGATTGTCTAGATAATGTGGGACCCTCAACGTCTCACAACCCTATGGGCCTTCATGGCCTGGTACAGGGATAGCTTTACTTTTAACAGCTTTATATACAAAGGTTACATATTTCAGCAGATCTTTTGATTTCTTCACTAATTTGTTTTCGCTTGTTATCAGAGTACATAATAGTTAAATATTCTAACCACTACAAAAACATGCCCATCAACATTCAGACAGTCTGAATTATGTGACTACATGTTTTAATACCAGGGTTGGAAAGTGCCAGGAAGGGCAACGACAGAAGAAGGTGTGAGTTTCCGCCCATCTTGCATGCCAGCGGAGGGAGAATATGAGAAGAAAAAGAATCCTGTTGAACTGGCTAAGGATAGACTGATGTCCTTAGAAGCAGCAATAGAAAGAAGATACTTAAAGCCTCCGCTTGGTGTGAGGTAAGCAGCGCATCTGTACCAAGCTGGCTTTGTAATCTAAAAGTTAATTTTCTTTCTAAATACTGTAAGGGTAAGTCAGTAGAAGAAGAAGAAGAAGAAGAAGAAGAAGATGAAGCAAGGTTCAACTTAACATATAAAACTGGGAAATTTAGTGAGTATAATGACTGTGGCTGGATGGATGACTGGAAAATCAAGGTTTAAGTCCCAGTGGGGGCAAATATTCTTTTCTGTAACCATGTCCCAACTGTGTCTTGTTTCATATTTTTTGTGTTACATAACCTCAACGTGAATTAATTCTCACAAGGTTCAACTTTATGTCGTACTCATAGTAAGAGCATAGCACACTGTGTCACAAAGTTGCTCTGTTAAGACTGCTCCCACAAATTAAATAATTAACCAATGTAACAGGATGCAGAAATATAATAATTTAACCTCAACAGTTGATACATTGTTATAATATAACCAAATAATGGCCATCGGACTTCCTCTCCACTCAGATGTAGACTTTGGTTCTTACTGTTTCCATTGCAGTACTGGTGACGTCAACTTGTCTGGTATGTCTGGAGAGGTGACTACCACAGAGGATAATGTGCCGAAAGGTCTGGTTGTGTGGCGAGAAGCTGTGGGGCGAGCCCACACGTCTGCTCAGCTTGCCATGGCCCTCTACATGCTCGAAGCATCCATTGCGTGGGACAAGAGCATCATGAAAGCCGTGAGTTCGGTTTCGTCAGCATCCGGCAAAGGTTCTAGTGTGGGTATTCGCTTGATTTTGCTTTTTCATTCATTTTTCATCACTCTTCACCTTCTCTCCCTTACCTACACCTTGTCACTCACACTGAATTCAAATCTTAGAAATCATTTGCAGAAATTATTAAATGGCCTGACAGATCATTTATTTTAAATGCCTGTTATCGTGTGTTGTGTATTGCTTTTTACACACTTTTTATTTATCAGTGGTGTTCATTTATAATTTGAAGCATAAACAGATAGGTTTACTGTAAATTGTCGAGAATTGTACCCTGATGGGGCCAAAGATAATGCAGTTTTGAAGCAAGATATGTAAGTAAACTTGCAGACATCATTAGGTTAAAAAGAAAACTGCGGACTTCTGGCATCTGATGCCATGTAGTCAGGCATATGATTGCCATTGTTGGGCATTTATACAGGGTACATTTCTATGATAGGGTTCCCATTCATCCCATTTTTCACGGGACAGCCCCCTTTTTTTCATATAATGTCCTGCTGTCCGTTATTTATTTCAGATGTCCCGCTTTTTAAGCGCTTTTCTGTAACATAAATTTCTGTCAGTAACTGCTGGGTAACAGATGCTATTGTCTGCAGTTGGTGTTTCTGTAACGATGTTAACACTCCTGGTGTCTAATCTACAAACGCCGTTTCACAAATCATTAGTGTTTCTGTTTGCAGTTCCTCCCCCACATTTATATTGATAGTAATTTGTTTTGCTTCCATAATGGAAGTTCCATTTGTATCATTCTCTGCAGTCTTTGTTTTCTCAGTAATAAATGCGTTATGGTCAGATGAAAGAAACGGACTTAAAATAGAAACAGTGAAAGCCTTAACCATGGTGAAGACCCACTTTAAAATTTCTCATGTTCAGAGTTCCTCTCCAAGATATTGAAAGAAAAAGTACTTCTGAAACAGGTGAATCTGGGAAGACTTTTGCAGAGTAAGACCTACATTTTATTTTTATATGAATTTTTACAAGTGACTTGTTTCTAAATTAATAATTTTTAGCTCATTTGTATATGTTTAAATTTCTCATTGTTTAATATATAATATATTATTAATCTTTTATTTCTATTAATTTTTTATTATGTCCCCTTTTTACCAAAATATTCTGATTTGTTAGGCAAAAAATGGAAATGTCCTGTTTTTTGAAAATGTGGGAACCCTATTCTATGGTTTTAAACCAGTTGTATATGAAAATTGATAAATTTTATTATATCTTGGACTTAATCTGTACTGGGCATGGCTGTCAGTCTGTAATTCTGATTAGGATCAGTACAGTTGAATGANACTCGTACCAGCACTGCAGCTCACTTATATAGCTGCAGGATTGCCTGTTACGTTCCACGTCACAGTAGGAAGCAGTTCCGCGTCACCGCGTGATGTCACCGCGGAGGGGAGTCGCGGGGCGGGCTTCGTTACCGTGCGGGGGAGGGGGAGGGGAGCGCTGACTCACCCGCCGCGTCACTGCTGGTGTGTGGGGGGGGGGCTCGGCTTGGCGCAACATGTCACAATATATTATTAATCTTTTATTTCTATTAATTTTTTATTATGTCCCCTTTTTACCAAAATATTCTGATTTGTTAGGCAAAAAATGGAAATGTCCTGTTTTTTGAAAATGTGGGAACCCTATTCTATGGTTTTAAACCAGTTGTATATGAAAATTGATAAATTTTATTATATCTTGGACTTAATCTGTACTGGGCATGGCTGTCAGTCTGTAATTCTGATTAGGATCAGTACAGTTGAATGAAAAAATCTGAAGACACACAGTCTCTCTGTACAAACTCTAAGAGGCAATTTTTGCACTCATTTCAGCTGTAGGTATTTGTAAGCGATTAGATAAGCAAATAAATAAAGAGGTGATACGAGGGAGACATATTTAACATTCAAGTTAATGAGTTTACTCACATAATTTACATGCTTAAATTTAGACAGATTTTGAAAAGAATTAAATATTATATTTTTACTTGTGATAGAGTTTCATCCAATTCATAATTTTTGTCAAACCTGCAATTAAAATGAAGCCATTATCACAACACAGTATAGGAAACTTTAATTGTATTTCCCCTGAAAGTTATTAACTGGTCAAAATTTTATCAAGGGAAACTTGTATCTCAGCCTCAGTTAGGGAATTGTCTGATGTAGTCTGTACATGCAATTGTCCGTTGTCACATTGCCCTCAGCTTTAATCACATTTTCCATGGAGATTATACATTAGCCAGAATTTTGTCAAAGGACATTTTAATTTCAGTTTTCATCAAGGAATAGCATGGTAGAATCCATGGACATGGATGTCCATGTTGTACCACGTATTGTCATGTAGAATTCAAATTTAGTCACATTTGCTGCAAAAATTTGGCAATAATATGAATTTTATCAAGGTGTACATTTGTCTAAGTATTCATTGAGGAATTTCGTGGTGGAGTTCATAGATGTGATTATCCATGCTGTGTTGTTGCGTAGCATTTAGGTGTAACCTTCTCAGTGTCATACGTAAAATTATATAAGAGAAAGTTGTATTTTGCATAATTTATGCACCAAAACTTTCAGGCATGATGTTCTGGGGTGAAGTATTGTCTACCTTACGCAAGTAAATACAGTATGTTCTGGACAATGAGCACCTCTGGAAGCGGAGTGCAAAAATTGTGCTTATGAACATATAACGTATTTCCTTACAACCATTACTTTCCAAACCTTGCCCATTCAGATGCTGTAGATCTCCCTACATTTCCAGTACCATGGGTGTTTGAGTATTTCTGACAAATGGCAAAATCAACACAAGCAGTTAACAGGGATCTCAGAAGTTTCGTACAGAGATTCAACAAGAATGATGATGATGATGATGATGCAGAATTCTGAAGTGTGGTATCAGGTTGATTTTTCTAATATGCTGCTCCATCTTCTGACTTTTATGGAAAATATTTCAAAGCTTCCTTCCTCCTGCATAACTTACCGAACTCGCTTACCATCTGATATTTTAATTATTTTATATTGAAAACAATAATAGTAGCTCTCTAGTGTCTCTTCATGTTCAGTATTTTCTGTCATGCTAGCATGAATATCTTGTAGAGTTAACTTCACTTTGATTTTAATGCGTCAATTGGCATTATTTTTCTAATTGATGTAACAGTGCATGGAGTATATGCTTCTGAATGATAACTAATTATTTTATATATAAACTAACACAGCGTGTAGTAGTTAAGGAGTTGAGATGTGAGTCAGTATTTTGTTACCACTTGGCATTTGTTAAGTTTGTTTTTTAATTTCAGATATTACTTTTGGTTTTACTTAAAGGGTGCTTTACAGTGGCAGCATAGGTTATATTCTGTTTTACAAAATGCTTTCTTACTTAGAATTACATAAATATTTCCCCCACCCCACCCCACCCCATTTCATGCTTATATTTTCTGAGTTATGGAAGACTAAAATTATTTCCCTCCTACTCATAGTACTTATACATATTGTTGCTCCTTTCTTCCTGAAAGAAGTAGCATCAGTAGGCAGCATCCCAGTACCTAGGTTAAGTGACATAGTCTAGATGTGATAGCTGACTGTCAGACTCTGTCCACTGCCCTGTGAGTGGTCTGCATTCGTCACAGAACACAGGGCTCTGACAGCGATGTATATAAATACAGAAAACAGTTGTGCCATCTTATTGGCCCCTGATTATTAGGACAGTCTCCAAAACATTAGATATTAACTCAATTTTTTCATGGGTGATCACCCTAGAAGATTATATATGAGAATTATTGATGTGGTAGATGTGTAAATGCTGAAATTCTGCTCAGATGGTGTTTTGTCACTAACCTCATTACTTGTCTGTTCACATGTTCAGCAACACATCATTATCTCATGGAAGAAAATGTTGGACCTGCAGAATTTTGTGCAGCTAAAGAACAAAACTTTCTTGATGTTTGTACTGTCATTTGGAACTTCATGTTATGTTCCTTCTATATCATTTTTTTGGTGCCACTGAATCACATTGTTGGTTTGACCTGCAGAGGTCATAGAATAATAAGCAAAATGCTTTAATATTCTTACTTAAAAGGTTTGTGGCCATTTTCAGACACTAGTGCACTTTTATCGCTTCACGGAACAGTAATTCTTGCTTTGCAACCCATTTTCTAAATTGTAAAGTAGGTAGAATTTAGTATCTTTAGTGACACTCTTTCAATTTATTAATGATACCATAGCTACAGTGAAAGTAGGGTTGGCTTTCATTTCGCTTTTCCATGCCCACAAAAATCGAAAGACAGTTCGATGCCATATTAGTTTAACCATATCAGCACCTGACAAATGTCATAAAGTGAGATACCATAAATATAGGCCCATGTGCATGCTAGCGAAAGAAAAGATGGACTGTACACAGAGCTGGATTCTGTGTAGGGTTAATTATGAGCACTGTGAATTGAAATTCCTTGTAGTTTATTAATGACATTATCTGCCAAACCCTTACAGAGTGGTAACATCATATGACTCACTTTATTTTAATGCTAAATGACATGTATCAGTTAATTTGGGTGTAAAAGTGAGCATTGTTTAAATTTGAAAACCAAACTTATGAACTGTATAATACATATTTTTTCTTGCTTAATCCTGTAAGGTTTCTGTATCATTATTTTCATAATCTAGTAAGTGCATACCCTCAGTTAGGCTCGACATTCAAATGCAAATTTGCTCATCCAGAATCTCTTCCAAACAAAAACAAATGCATATGAATGAAAATGGAGACAGACAAATGCACATTGTGGTGTTCATCTAGTATAGGATTTTGCTGTTTTTTTTTAACGGTTTTGAGGTTTGTGACTTATTAATTGTGGCTGATAAGAGGAGTAGCTCTTTAACATTTATTTTTGATGTTTATAGCATAATTGGGTCTCCAGTGGTTGCAATATAATCTGATATGTTTCTGATGTTTCAGGGAATAAAACTGATGATTTATATTTTTCTCTGATCATTTTTTGGCTCTTTGGGAACATAAACCCCCAGTTCTAACATTGCATTATGGGAAATAGTGATCTGTATTACAATATGTCACCTTATGAACACACTCCAGGAAGGAAACTGTTCATGAAAGTGTGGACTGCATGTATACCTCTATCGAGAAATCAACAGATTAGTAAAAGTTCATTCAACTGGAAAAATGTGAATGTAAGCAAGGTATTTAAAAGAAACAAGGACACACAACACCAGATGTTTCAGTGGATTTGGTCTTTCCCTTCCCAGGCGTTTCATTACATACAAATTTTTATTAAAGTGTACAGCATTTCATATGCGCTTAACTATAATAAATGATCCATTTGTTAATCTCTACGTTAATTTTCTCTGTTAAACCGAAAGTGGTTTAACAGGTATTATTTATTTGCTTCACCTGTGAGATACATAAATTACATAATTGCTATAATAAATATGGTGTTTCATCTGAATTTCAGTTGGTTAGTTTCTTACAATATATTGTCGTGTGCCCGGGGTTCCATGACTAATAATAATGAGTTCTGGATTGGATTTATTGACACTTCTTTACAATTATGACAGCTCACAATAATGACTGGCTAAGACTCCATTCCTTACTGAACTACGAGCATCTTCTCTTCTACTGTGACAAATGATGAACGAAGAACATCTGCTCATACTCTCAAATAAACTGAACTAACTCTCTTATAACTTTGGGCCAAACTGAACATAAGTCACCATGTCTTACAATTCCTCTGTTATTCTGTTTTTCCATATTTAATCATTACCACAGGAATGTGCTTACCGAACCGTTGCCTAGCAATGGATTATTCCTCGACTGTTCGTTGCAGCAGGAACATATGCTTGGCGAGCTGTTGGGTGGCAATGGCCTTCTGCTCTGGCTACACTATTCCGGCTTTGAGGCATCATGTCACAATATTGTGCTGCATAGGGCTATAAACTCTGTCGCTGAGGAAGTTGATCAGTAGTGCAGGTTGTAGTAGATTGAAATATAAGTTACATAACGTTACTGATTTTCACTTTTTTCAGTAGGTGTTTTTGACTGAATTAAATATGCCGATATAAGAATGACAATCAAGAAGTTGTAATGGTTGTTGTTGTTGTTCTTATCTTTTGTCTTCTATAGAATACAAATATGCATACCACTTACTATGCAGTTTAAAATAATGAAATTAATTAAATGAGAATACAGTTTTATTTACTGATGAAACATCATTTTCTCACATTATGGTTGACTATAATAGTATACAAATGTGAAAATGTTTTGTTCGCCAAGTGTCCAGCATTTGTATACCTTGCTTTGAAAGTCTTTAAAGTTCTGTCTGAGTTTCATGTAGTGAATGACTAAAGATCAGAATTAATTTTTGTTCACAGTTTTAATATACTCCCTCAAATACCAAATTTTGTTGAAACCCTGAGAGCTAATTTGGAACTGAAACATGTTAACAGATGAGTAGACAGATGTGATGTTCCAATTTTACATTTATTTTATATACATTATTTAAAGTACACTTAAAACAGACACTTTTTAATTATATAAACTTTCAGTATTTGGTAGGATGCTCAATTTCTTCCCTGATGATGGCCAGAATTCATAGAGATAAATGTTTTCTTAGCTGGTCACGGTACTGAGCGGTCTAAGGCATGTACTATCTTCGCTCGCTTGGAAACCGGGATCGTGGGTTCGAATCCCACTCAGGGCATGGATGTTTAGTTCGTGTGTGTGTGCGTTTTTCTGTGTTTGTGTACAGGTAGAGGCCTTGCGATGAGCTGATCACCCGCCCAAGGAGTCCTACCGAATGTGTAAGATCTAGAAAAACCGAAGTGAATGGAGAAGTTCATGGAGGTAGGCCTAGGCCCACTGGGGCTGTAGTGCCAAGGGAAAAAAAAATGTTTTCTTTTTGGCTGATGTGAAAGTATTGATGAATTGTGATGTTCAAAGATATAATATGGTAGTACAAAAGGGCTTTATTAAAATGCTCACATTACTGATACCCATCCCTTCTGGTACATGTAGTGAGACCCAGTGTCTATATTGTATGCTTGTTGCACTGCAGAACTGCCAATTTTGCCACAGTGGAGACAATGAAGACAAACTGCTGCTCTGTGATGGCTGTGACAAGGGGTACCACACTTATTGCTTTAAACCGAAGATGGAGAACATTCCAGATGGAGACTGGTAAGGACTTCTCAGCTTTAGGATATTGCTAATTGATTTTCTAAACAGCTGATATGTTAATATAATTGTACACTGTAATGTTCCATACGAAAACAGATCTTAGAAGCTGACCATGTCTAATTCCTTACTTGTATGCCTGTCATTACATAAATTTTGAAAAATTCATTCCAGCTGCTTCAAAATTTTCGTCATAAATAGATGACATGAAAATAAACTGAACAATATCATGTCTGTAAGCACAGAGCATGTTAGAACAGCAAGTGCCCTGGGCTAATATTTTTGAGATGCATGATTCAGATTTTGTTTATGTTACCAGCTATCCTAGCAAGATTCCTCTCTTCAGGTGAAAGCCTGGTAAAAAGATAAAGTTGTCCCTGTGCTTAACTAATTAAGCATCACACCATGAAGACATACATTGGAGAGGAGGTATAGATCCATGTATTCTTGGCCTTGGAGGTGAGTGGTCACCTTCATGCCTTGGTGGCTTTACCCCTATGGAAAGTTTTGCTCCTACCAGGACTTGAACTCTGGCCACTCAGCTGTCTGGCCCATAACTGGTCACTATGCCAACTGCACTATGCTAGCTCCCAAAAGCCAGGTAATACCTTGAAGTAGGCCATAACCACCTTATTTAAGAAATGTATTTTGTCATTATAGTACATGATCTTGTTATCAAATCGCTCCCTGTCGTTTGTGAAATCTGTAGTTTTCTGTTCTAGTATTAACCTGTTAAGTTCTCACTCCTTATAATTTAGACCAGCACAATTCAGTTTCATAAAAATCTTGACAGTAATTTCAGAGTTCAGAGGCCTGAACATACATAACCTCAACACTTCATGCAGTTATTACATCCACTTTGTGCACGACATAATTGGCTTAACAGTAAATTCATGGCACTTTAAAAATGAGAGTGCTTTATGATGTGCAGGACGTAAGGCTTTGGTTTACATTGCATTATTCCAGGTATTGCTATGAGTGCATGAATAAGGCTACTGGGGAGAGAAACTGCATCGTATGTGGGATGAAGGTTGGCAAGAACCTGGTAATGTGCGATCTGTGTCCTCGAGCATACCACACAGATTGTCTCCAGCCACCTCTTGTTAAGGTAAAACAGCTGAACAGCATGATTTCAGTGAAATAGACATGATTATTGCTGGTTCAATGGAAGGTGATAGATAAGTGTGACTGGCTCAGAAATTTGTCAGGCAGTAAGTTGGGTTTTATGTTAGCAATGTTGAACATTCATATTATATTACGAGGAAGGTTAATTTAGTTGTGTTATCAATCTTGGACTTTTTTCAAAGATGACAACATATTTGTAATTTACGAACTGCATGGTAACTGTGGCTTATCTGAATTTTGGTAAAGGGTATACATCTATAAGATCACAGCTGTTACTTCCACTGGCTTCATCAGTACAGAATGATTACATTTACCCATTCTGGGTTAATAATATAGTTAATGTTTCTTTTGTAACATGGTACCATATTTACTTGTGCAATTTATGCTCCTTTTTACCCAGAATGTCATGTCTGAAATATTGGTACCTATCCACCAAACCACAACATTTGTCCTGATATTGGACAGACTGTACCATTTTCTAACAAAGTAGGTTTACATAGAAGTAACACTCCAGTATTTGGGAGGTTCTTGGTTTGACTCTCTGCTGGGACATTGACCATTCTGGCTGAGCCTTTTTTGTGGTTTTCCTCAGTTCCTCCAAGCAAACACCAGAATAATATCTTAAATATTCCACAACTGCTTCCTTCCAAATCTCTTTTCACCATTTATCCTACCGTTCAGTGCTACATAGTCTAAGTTACTGACAGCGTCTTAAAATAAACTTTTCATAAGTAATTTATTCTTTTAATCATGAACCTCATTTGCCATATTGTTCTTTGTGGTATTTATGTTCACATAAAGTGATCTGTGTCTAACAGGTGCCGAGGGGGAAATGGTACTGCCCAACATGTCAGGCGAAGCAGCCCAAAAAGAGAGGTAGTGGGCGACGATCAACACCACATCCCAAACCAAAGGATGCTGAAAGCAGTGACCAGCCGCCCCCTCCTGCAACGTGAGTCTATAACGGAGTACGCCACCCTCAAAATTTCTTCTCCTGTCATGTTGGTGTTACAGTGCGCCCCTTTATTACTTGTTTGTGGCTGATTTTGTTCCTTGCTGTGTACCATTTTGATTTAATAGGAAATTAAATTCAGTTATAAAGATTACTAAAGGTCGTGACGATGATGCATTTTCAAACTGACACATACGCTGGACATTTCTATAGTCTTGTTTTTGGTTACACTGCATGTTTGGGAAATTTTCTATGTTTCTATTGTGAGGCAGAAGAAGAAAACCTCTGTTGGGTCCATTATAGTTAGTGCCTCGTAACTTTAGCTGCGCGGAAAGGTAAACGCTGTTGTGGAGCACCCAAAGCTGTATGCTTACTTTGGTGACGTTCAAAGCTACTCTCCGAGCAGAAAACATTGCCTACAGAGACCAGGAGTAGATACACAACGTACTATACACCTGACCACACTCCAAGATGCTACATTCCAAACTGGTAGTACCCACGCTTACATAAGCTGATAAGACTACTCTCCCAGCTTCGCGAGAGATGGTATGACCCCTCTACCATGGCTAGAGTTCCGAGGAACTAACAGTAGATTGAGCTAGTCTCTACCCTCAGAATGTGTTAGATGGACAGATTCTGTTAGGTCCAGTTGATCAAGCCGCTCCAGGAATAACTGGATGGAATCTAATGGGTCTGTTGCATGAAGTAACTTTCTATCGACAGATGGATTTAGAGACCAACTGGAACTAGTGGACCTAACAGACTATATTTAAGTTCTTTTACTTGATGACATAAGTACAACCAACTTTTGAAACTTGTGTTTTAACAGAAAATAAGACAATGGAAAATGCCAAACGTTCATGCCAGTTTAATAAAGATTACCATGTTCTGAGATATGACATCATGCAGTCTGGTGGAAAGCTGCCAGATAGCAGGTTCCCCTGACACTTTGACACCTTTCTGCCAGACTACACAGCATTTCATCCCTGAAGACGGTGATCTTCATATTCACTGCCACACATCTCACAGAAACCCAATTAATTCAAAATTTGATTGATTTTACTATATTGGCACTAAGCACTACAGAAGCTAAAGTGATACATGGTGTTGCAGTTATGCAGTCTGCCACGTATTTTGTCTACTTCATTATGTTTAATAAGACTCACATCTGTGAAAGCTGACGTAAGGTGACTTGCTATGTTCTGGAGGTTAAAATCCTTGCAGGATCACTGGATTTTTCTCATTGCATCCATAAGGATCCTCAAAACTCTTGTGGCTTTGATCATTATAGAATTATTATGTTGGATGCTGTCCATCGCCTTAGGTATGTGTAAATTATTGGCCCAGTGATCGAGCGTAGCTCTGAAGAGTTCTGTCTTCTGGGTATAACACTATGCAGTCTTTTGAAAGTCAACTGACATTTTGGAGGAACATGTCACCTCATTTTAGGTTGAGTAGTAAGCTCTGGTTGCTGCCTGCTTCATGTTAGTTTTTTTGCTTGTCATACGTTTCAACCCTGCTGATGGAGGTGCCAAGTTCCTCTGAAACTTTGGTTGACTTTCAGATGGTAGGACTCCTTGGATGAGTGATCAGCTTGTCGCAAGGTTTCTACCTAAACACAGGACAGCACAAACACAGAATAAATACATACACATACAAAACATCCATGCCTTATGTGGGATTCGAAGCCATGATCCTGGCTTCCGAGCGAGCGAAGACAGTACGTACCTCAGACCGCTTGGCTACCGTGACTGGCAGTGGAAAATGCCAACCATAATATTCATATATAAATGATCAGCAGTGGATGGTGTTAATAAGTGGCAGAATGACTGATACACATCATGTGCTGTATGTTTATCAGCAGCCTGGCTCCTAAACATGCTTCTGTGACATGATATTATATTGCTGGAGAGAATATATTATGTTCATTTCCCAGGTGCATGATAAATAGACATTAAGTAGGAAATACTGGAAATATTGTCTTACAGGTGTCAAGGTGGTAAAAGGGAACCTTTCCCTGTTCTTAATTAAATAAGCACCATGGTGATTAATCTGCCACCCCCATCTAGAGCCAGAGTTAAGAATGCCTGGAGCTATATCTCCACTCCTCCATGTATCTTCATTGTGTGAAGCCTACTTAAGCATAAGGACAACTTTACTTTACTTTTATTGCCGGACAAATCTCAGATTGGGGAAATTGGCAAGTTCAGCACATGTTATAGTACCATTGTCATTCATATATTCACCTGTATATTTTCATTTCCCATGTTGTGTGATAGAAACATGCTGTAAAGTGCTATTCTGTGCACACAACACATCTGTGAACTACTTGGGAGGAAAAAATTAAGTTCTCACTTTGTGTTGAAGTGACAGTATGTATACATTTTATAAAATTCTGAACCTCTCAAGTAATTGGTGCTGGTTAATTTGTCACATGCGTAATTAATGGAAATATGAGCTATTCTCTTCTACCATACTCAAAATTATAGTTAGTCATTCCACTATCAGATAACTCCAGAGGCGCAGTCCTAAAAATAAAATCACCAGGATCCTCTGGCATGCAGTTCTCCTTCAAATGAAATGGGCATAAACTGTATGATATGAGACCATTTCTGTCGTTACCTAACCTAGCTTTGCAGATTTTAATGCAGAATTGAACAGCAGGCAGCTCATGAAATGCACATATTTCATAAGGCTGATGCCTCTACTTCAAGCATTGGAAATTAAATAAGCTATAATTTATTCATGTTTGAAATCACCATTAACCCTTTTGCGCGGTCATTTAA